GCTGGTATTTCTTTGGCACCATTGGACTCCTTCTGAACACACACGGTGTGGCTGTGCCGTCACCGGCTCTGGCTCTGCCGGGGGGGTCTGATGGGGGCTGTACAGAGACATCACCAGAGCAGAACGAGCAATTTTGCTGTGAAATAGAAATGTATGTTCATGTTTCAAAGGATATGACTTAATCCAGATGATATAGAGGAGATGATACTGTTAAATTAACTGTGCGCTGAAGCACGTCACAACTTGTGTGGTGCGACATACTTGGCTTGCAGCTTACAAGATGTGCTCTCCATGTCTTGTTCTCCTCCAGTGAGGAAACAAAGATGTGTGTGGTATTTCAGAGATTAATCACAGGCTTAGTCATAGATGGAAAAATGTTCAGGGTTTGTATCTGTTGGGAGAGTCCTTTTGAAATTCGTAAAACTGTAGCAATTTCGTTTTTCAGTCCCTGTTTCGTTTTTCAGTCCCGTTTCTTTGCTGAGAGTGACTTTATATGGTAAAGCAGAATTTTAAAGAAAATCTGCTTTTCAAGAATTGCTGTCTTCCCTTGAAGGAAACGGCAAGATTTTCTGAAATTCTCTAAGGGATAATTTTCCAAAGCAAAACTGGGACTGGAGAGCCTGGCTACCAAAGGGGGAATGTCATCCAGTTGAACAGACTTGTGCTGTTCTCAGAGCTCTACCACAGTGAGAGACCTTTGCAACTGTCTTTGAAGCAATGAAATAAGTCAGTGGGTGTCAGAAGATAAATTGTGTATAGGCTTTTGTGCTGACCTTTGCAAGTCTCAGTAAACTTAAGGCAGCCATGTTAGGTTGGTTGTGGTGTTAGAAAACATATTGACTTTTTTCTCCCAAATCTCTTCTAGGTAAGAGAAGATACAATATTAAGCTGTGGAAAACCTTCACAGACTGTTTTAACTGTTTACCAATTGCAGCTATTGTGGATGAGAAAATATTCTGCTGTCACGGGGGTAAGTCGTGTCCTTAGGTGATACTTGAGGAACTGGATACTCAGTATCAGTCGTGGCATTTTCATGTTTACATTGCTGAAGCTTCAAAACTTCAGGGATTTTTCTCTTCCTTGGCCCCTGTAGGAGGAAGGGTTGGGCTTGATGAGTGTCAGTTTTGTGAATCACAGAGCTTGGCAGTTTTGTAGCCTCGGACACAATGATCTGCTTTTCCTTTTCCACTAAAACATGTGTTTAATAGACTCTCCTTAAGAGTAAAATATCCTTGTAGGGGTTTGTAGACTTCTGACTAGGAGTTTGTTCTGAATCAGAGTGGTGTGGGATGGAAGGCACCTTTGAGGAGCACTGAGTAGAACCCCCTGCCACGGGCAGGGATGTCTTTCACCAGGTCAGGCTGCTCAAAGCCCTCTACGACCTGGCAGGTTTAATTTGTACAGATGGGCTTGTGCCTTGTGATACCTGCTCCGTGCAGCTTTTTGAGGGCTTAAAATACGTACTGCACCTTAAATGTTTTATCACTTGCCAGCCATTACAGTTGCCCAGGGACACACATCAGTGAAAAACGATGTGAGATTGGCTTGATACTGTATTTCATCTTACTAGGCCTGATCATCACAGTAAACATACCCTGTGATTTCTGGTGTAAATGCCTCTTTTACTTAACAGCTCTTTTATCAGACACTTGCACAATATTATTGAGATTATTGTAATCCTGTAAAACATGGAAATGGCTTTGCTTATCTTGCTTCCAGTAAATCTCCTAGGAAGTGACTTGTCTTCTGTTACAAATGCCTTCAAACAAACACTGGATTAAAAAAATGCCAGTTTAATGTCGCCGTTGAACTGCATAAAATGGCAGCGGTGAATCACTTGGAATACGGAGTATTTTTGTCCTGAAGGAACACGTCAGTCCTGCAGAGCAGAGCTGGACTGACATGTGGACTCTGTGTGTGTGTGTGTGTCTTACCTCTGACAGGTTTGTCACCAGACCTGCAGTCGATGGAGCAGATCAGACGAATCATGCGGCCCACTGACGTACCAGACCAAGGTCTCCTGTGTGACCTCCTGTGGTCTGACCCTGACAAGGATGTCTTGGGCTGGGGTGAAAATGACAGAGGAGTGTCCTTCACTTTTGGTGCTGAAGTGGTTGCTAAGTTTCTCCATAAACATGATTTGGATCTCATATGTAGAGCTCATCAGGTATTGTCATTTTGTACTTTAAAACAGAGAATAGTTTAGGTTCAGGAGGACCTGGTCCAGCCCTGCACACACGTGCTCAGCCCGAGGTGCTGAGGGTCTTGTCCAGCCAAATTGTAAATATCTGTGAGGATCTCTGAATGTGTCCCAGTGTTTAACAGCCCTTGTAATGAACATTTTTCTTTAATGCATAAAAACTGTGACTCTTGAACAAGGGTTTTCTCAATGCTAATGGACTCTGTTGCTGAACTGGTTCTTGTGATGTTCCTGTTCTGATGTAAAAGTTTGGAACCCATGCTCCTTAAACACATCCTCTGGTAAAGCTGCTTTGCACCTTGGCAGGAAGAATCTGCCCAGACTAACACTTGTGCTTTTCTCTCTAAAGGTTGTTGAAGACGGATACGAGTTTTTTGCAAAAAGGCAGTTGGTAACTCTCTTTTCTGCCCCTAATTACTGTGGAGAATTTGATAACGCGGGTGCCATGATGAGTGTGGATGAAACACTAATGTGCTCTTTCCAGGTACAGTAGCTAAACGTTTTTACCTCCTAGTTAGTGAGGTCACATGTTAAATTCGTGGAATTTTGCACCAATGCTTTATTGTTAAAAACCAATAATAGTTCCAAATAAGTCTTTACAGCTATCACATGTAGACAGGGCAGTGTTTGCAGTCACGTCTTCAAAAATGTGATAAGCCTGTGCTGGTGTGATTAGATGAACTGTTTTCCCTGGAATTAAATCACCCAGGCAAAGCTGTTGGCTGTCAGCCTGGTCCTACTAGTGTGGGCTCTGGGATCAGCTGCTCCAAGCCCTGGCCTAGCTCAGAGCAGGAAAGAGAGGGAATTCTGGGCACGTTTAGACCTGTCCAGAAGACCCATATAACACCTTTGAGTGAATTATTGAATTTGGAAATTTGACTGGAAAACAGCTAAAGCCTTTTGCTAAATGACCCCACTGTCTTTTCAGATCTTGAAACCTGCAGAGAAGAAGAAGCCCAATTCCAGCAGACCCGTAACACCTCCCAGGGGTATGATCACAAAACAAGCCAAGAAATAGTCACTTGGCTCTGCCTTGTTGGGACTTGTATCATAGTCTATAACCTCCATTTTTAAACCTGTCATGTTGTGCTGTTCAGCTTGCTCAAAATAGATAACGTGTTTGTGGTTTTCCTTTTCCATTTGATGAATGGCATTTGCTGGTTGTAACAGCGAATGAAAGACTTTTGTCCCTCCCAGGAAAAGAGTTTCAAAGTCCCCTTTTTGTCGGTGTTACAGCAGCACAGCTCCACAGCATCCCCTGCCAGCCGGGTAAGGCACGGCTGCTGGGACTGTACCATGAGTAGTGTAAATCTTGTTCTTTAGGATCTAAAGAGGGCACTCGTGTGCTGTGAGAGTAGAGATTTGTTCCTGTCAGCGATTACATACTGTTTATACAAACCACTGTGAACTTTTTTTTACGTTAAATTTTGTTTTAAAGGGATTGCTTTTCTTTTACTGTCTTGTCTCTAGTTTTTATTGCTGTTGACATTAGGAATAACCTTCAACCTTGCCAGCATCACTGGTAGGATGTATATTTAATTCAGACACACGGTCCTCTCCTTATACTTCAAATGACAATTAAAGCCATTATTTTAAGTGTTTGTGTCTCTTTCCTGAAGCCAAAGTTTGCTTAGAAACCCGTTTGTACACGACCCCCCTGCCGAGTTGGCCGGGCTTCCCATCCACACCTTCCTCTTGGAGAGAAAAGGAAGTCCTGGCTGGAAATAGCACATAAACACTTGTCCATGCTCACAGTGAACACATTTGTACAGTTTCCTTGTGTTCCATGGAGCAGATCATAGTGCTGAGACAGCAGTCCCAGGGCAGGGACAGAAATGGCTCTGGGAGTGACAGAAATGGCTCAGGATCTGCTGGAAGGGGTTTGTGCATTTCAGCCTAAAGACTTTGTTCTACAAAGAAACCCAGAAACTCGATAAGCCAACCAGAGGTGTTACTCTTGATCACCAGTTTATATAAATCTCTCACAGAATCTTGTTTTTTAAAAGCTGTTGATCTTTTTTGAACAGATGACAGTGTACAATACCATGTAGTGAAAATCACTTATTAAATGATGAAATTGTTAAATCTTCTCCGTGTTGGTTTATCACAACCTAGGCCCTGCTCTCCAAGGGCCTGACTTAGAGAAATAAATTGTTCTGGAAACCCACGGATTCTCGGTTTGGATTTGTCCGAGCTGCAAGAGGGGGGAATTTAAACAGCAATGCTGGGTTTAGCTCTGGGTCCCCCCCGGGGGTGCAGCTCCCCCAGTGACACGTGTTGGTGACAGCGGTGTCAGAGCTGGTGTTGTCACAGCCTGTGCTCGCGGCACCGCACACGGGCGTGGGAGGCCACGCTGGGCTCGTGTTCATTGTTGTGTGCACTGAGCAGGGCTGGCCTTGAACACAAGTGCTGCTCTGAGAGGAGGGGTAGAGCTGAGGGCAAGATCATTTTCCTCTGGTTCATAATTAGAGAACTGAGTTCTTGGTGAAATGGGGAACTTGGGTAAACTTTATCAGTGCTGGTGTGGGCCGGCTGCCACGGTTGGTGGGTTGGTGTTGCTGGGTGAGGGGTGTGCCCAGAACAGCCTGGGTCCCTTGTGGCCCTGTGGAAAATGCTGTGGGATGTTCAGCACTCAGAGGAGGCGGCTTGTTCCCAGCACCACAACAGCTGCAGTGCTGCTGCATCCCCTGAGGAACAAGTTTGTCGCAGAATGCCCAGCTCGTATCCCCCATGGCTCTGTCCTGCTGTCCCACCCAGTTCCCCTCCACGTTCGGAGTGAGTGGGACTTTCTTGACACAAATAAGTTTTCTGGCCAGACCCAGCCAACGATTTTATTTTTTAATGTATTTCTCTGAATCAAAGAGCTGTTTTCCTGCTCTGAAGACCTTTTCCCCCTCCCTCTACAGCAGCTAATTAATCAAAAACCTCTTGCTAACCACGATGAGCTCCTTTTATCACGTGTCACAGATCACCTGTTAAGAGTTTCTCACAGACTTTCACCTTTTAAATCACACTTGTGGTTTCCTTTGGGGCTCTGTAATTTTTCTCCCTCCTTGTACAATGTCCTGTGGTCTGTTACTGCTGTAGTGAGTTGGGCTGTGCCTGGTCACCCCTCACTCCCCAGCCCTGCTGCACGGGCTGTGTCACACCTTTGTCCTCCGTGACTTGTTTTCTCTCCTCAAAGGCAGTTTCGGTGACACAGGTGCCAATTCTGGGCTGTGTTCTCTGCCCAGCTGCATTCCCTGGGGGTGGGTCATGCACCTCGAGCTTCCCAGGGTGCAGGTGGAGGTGGACGGGTCCTGTCCCACTGCAGGGCTGGGAAGGGAAGGAGCTGCTGATCCCACTGCAGGTTGTGATCGACAGCTCAGGGACATGTTTTATGCCCGTTTGTTGGGGTTGGGTTGTTTAATCAGTGGAGGGACAGAAGGAGGAGTAGATGCTGATTCCTGATTTTTTTTCCATAACAATACAGGTAGCTGGAGATTGTGACAAACCCAAGTTCTCCTCAGTCCCTGTCTTGTGCTCTGGAAAGAGTGGTAAGATCTGAGGCACTCCCTTGCTTTGGGTATCACTCAGTGACGTGTTCCTCTAATTTCTTCAAAATAAAGAGTGTCCCCATTGCCATCCAGCTGTGGAAAGGCTGTTTTTCCACACAGGTCACCATTGCCTGTTCCTGGTTTGCTTTGGGATGTGTCAGGGCTGTTGTGGCTTTCAGCTTGGAGTCAAGTCAGGCTGGAGCACTTCAACAACCAAACATCCATTTTCCTTGCAGTGTTCAGACCTGTTCTGGTCTCCGGGGACATGGGGTGGGGAGGTTGGGCACATGTCCCTCATAGGGAAGCAGAAGCTGGTGGGGTTTTCTCCTTAAAATCCACAGTCCTTACCCAGAAGGGGATCAGATCTGCAGAGCCTCAGGTGCAGATCTTCCACCATTGGCTGATTGTGTTGGTGTTTATTGGACTCAGCTGAGACCAAAATGCCCAAATTAGCTGGAAACCCCCAGGACAAACCTCCCTGCTGCGGCTCCAGGGCTGTGCCTTTGCTGTCCCACTCCTCTGCTCAGCTCTGTAAGTGGGTGTTTTGGGGGGAGGGTGAGGGATGGGGCATTTGGAGTTCCAGGAGGGTGTTACCTGTGTTTATTCCCCAGGGAGAAGGATGGGGATGGGCCTGTGCACTCGGGGATGAGGTGCTAGAAAATACTTAGGTTCCAGGAAAAGTTTTAGGGTTTCTCTGGGAGGAAACCCTTCCCAAAAGGGTCTTGGGGTTCTTAAAAGTGCAAAACTGGAGAGATGTTTATTACTTGGAGAAAATCAGAAATATTTATGATTTGTTGTAGCAGAGATGCCTCAGAGGTGGGTTCCTGGTGCTTTTCACAGCTGATGGTTTTTTCAGGACATTTCCAAAACAGCTTGTTTTTGGAAGCCAGAGTGGAACCCTAAACATGAAGAGGCCTCTGACCAAACAGGAGCCTATAAATGGAGGCAGATTAAACCAGGCCTGATTCCTGGGTTTTATATTCATATAATCCCTGGACCTCCACCAACTTTGTGAGACTGATCTGTGTCCCTGCTCAGCAGCCGCGCTCTGAGCTCGGCAGAGACTCAGGATTTAACTTCCCACCGTCCTGGAGCTTTGCTCGCTGTGTCGGGCAGGAAAAAAAAAAAAGAAGTTTAAAAACAGTGGAAAAAAAAAAAGTTTAAACTCCATCCGGCGGCGTCTCCTGTTCCGGCAGCTCCTGAGCGGGGGAAAAAAGCTGCGGAAAGGGGAAATGTCGGACGGGACCGCCGGGGATGGATGGGGGGGACCCTAGGGATGGATGGGGGACCCGGGGATGGATGGGGGGGACTCGCTGGAGCCCCTCCGGGCGCGGTGGGAGGAGGCGGCGGGGTCGGGGCCGCCCCTGTCCGGGGGAGGCGGGGCCGGTTCGCGGAGGCCCCGCGGCGGCGGCGGCTCAGGCAGAGCCGGGACGAGCACGGACGGTACCGGGGACCGAGGGGAACGGGGCCGGGGGTAGCGGGGGGCGGCCGGGGCGTCCCTGGGGCTCGGCGCGGTGGGTGCCGGCCGGGGGTGGGGGGTTGCAGCGGGGGCCGCCACGTCCTTCCCCCGGGGTCCCGCCCCGCCCCAGGGCTCCGTCCCGCTCCGCCAGGCTGGGGATGGGGGAGGTCGGGGAGCCCCGGGGTCCGGGACGCTCCACCCGCCGCCGGCGGCGGCTCCAGGCCCCGGGGCCGCCCCGCACGGGGCTGGGGGGCGATGCTGGGGCCGGGGGGCGATGCCCAGGGCCGCTCCCCGCGGGGCTCCGCTCGGTGCCCGGGGACGGAGAACGAAGGTGCTGCCCCTGTGGCGGCACCGAGGGACCATCTCCGTCCTCCCGGCAGGTGACGGAGTGGCCGCAGCCCACCCGCCCTCCGGCACCACCGCCGCTGGGAGCGGAGCCCAACGGGAGCCGAGGGCAGGGCGAGCACGGGCTGGGCCGGGGGAGGTTGTGCTGAGCCCCCCGGGCGGCTCCGGGAAAGGACGGGAGCGGAGTGGGGATGGGGGTCGTGCTGGCGGCGGGAGCGCATCTCGGAGGGTTTGTGGGCCACACAGTCTCGCCGGGCTGCCCAAAGAGGAAGGAGAGCTGGGGGGGCTGCGATGGGAACGCAGGAGCCTCTCCTGCAGCCCTTCAGCCCATCTGTGAGACCCCCGGGTCTTGCACTCCCAGCGAACTCGGTGTTTCATCCGTGTGGTTTTCATTGCTGGAGTGTGGCCTTAATGATTAGGACTTGGGTGGTCTTGCCCCTCACAGGGTGTCCACAGGGATGGGCTGAAACTGGGATGCCCAAGGATGAGGTCGGCTCTGGAGGATGCAGGGAGAGGAGATGGGGAGGTCAGTGTCACCCACCAGCCAGGCTGAAACGTGGGGATCACCTGTTTGATTTACCTGCAAAGGCTGAAGTAACAGGGGTCCCTGATGGTAATGAAGGGAAACCATGGCTGTTTTTCCCCTTGGCTTCTGACCAACAGCCTCTGTGGATCAGTGTCCAACAGAAACACAAGGGCAGCTGCCTCCACCTGCATCACAAGGTGCCAGATAAGGGCTGGTGCTTTTTTGCTCCTGTAATCGATGCTTTGCTTGGAGAAGTTTGGAAAAAACTCGTGAGGAAGTTCCTCGTTGTGGAGCAGCAGATGGGGCACAAACAGGGCTGGGGAGGGCGGCGGGGGCTCCTCGTGGTGCCGGGGGAGGGGGAGGTGATGCAAAACCTGCGGTCCCAGCGTTTAGCAACTTCCCGTCAGCTGGGCCGGTCACGGTCCTGTCCCCTCCCTGGGGTGAAACCGGGAGATTTGGCATCTTTGGTCCACCCTGAGTGGGGAGGTGACGCTCTGCTCTTGTCCCTCAGTTGGCAGGGTGATGCCAGCTTGACCCAGAGCCATGTCCAGGTACCTGAAGCACTTCACGGTGGTGGGCGATGACCCCGTGCAGTGGAGCAACGACTACCAGAAATGGGAGGAGGAGGAGGACAATGGGGACAAGCAGCAGGACTCGGAGATCAAGGTGGAGCCCGCCAGGAGACACATCTCCTTCCAGGACATGATGAAAAAGCTCTTCAGCTCCCACAAGTTTCAGGTGAGGCAGAACAAGCCCAGGCCAAGGGCAGGTGTGGGATGGAGCTCAGGAAGCGAGGCTGAGCTCGTGAGCCCCTGGCTGAGCTGTGCTGTGGGAGCTGAGCTGAGCTGCTCCCGTGGGTGCAGGTGTTTCCTGAGCAGGGACAGGCCCCGGTGCCTCCGGGTCACTGCGGCACCAGCACGTGCTCCCCGTCTCGAGCTCCACACATCAAGGGCTGGGAGGTGGTTGGGTTTATGGGGAGCCAGGTGGTTTCATGGGAGTGGGACTTTGCAGGAATAACCCACCATCCAGGGGGAGTGGGAGCAATGGAAAGCTCCATGAAACACAACCAGCTGAATCAGGGCTGTGGGTGTTGGGGTGTGTTCAGCTGTAAGGGCCACAATGGCTCCTCTTGTGGTCTGTGCTGGGAGGGGATTCATGTTGGTTCTTCTCCTCTGACAGATTGGGGTTGTCTGGCTGGTGATCCTGGATGCCTTGTTGGTTCTTGGGGAATTGCTCATGGACTTGAAAATCATCCATCCGGACAAATATAACATAACCCCAAAGGTAAAGTGTGGGGAAATGTCACCATGAACAGTGATTTCCCTCCCTTTGGCGGCTCAGAGCCTCCCCTGGATAGGCTGGCTGGGCAAGGCAGGACCTGGAGCTCCAGCCCTGCCGACCTGATGGTCCCAGCACACAAAGGAGGGGCTCACAGGGGTGTGTGGGGCTGACCTGGCTCAGCTCATGCCAGTCCCTGCAGCAGCTTCGGGTTTCCTTGGGCTGCAGCAGAGCTGGATCACTCCCACCACCCTCCTCCTGCTCCTCTTCACAGCTCCTGGACCAGTTCCCCAGCACCACAGGCTGCCACATACTCTGTCCTTTAGAGCAGAAGTCCCCAGCCCTTCTCCCTGTAGAGCCCAACCAGACGTGCCCTCGAGCAGCGGAGGTTTTCCATCCTGCCCTGCTCGTGTGCACACAGGGGGGTTTCCCGCTTCCTACCTTCAGCTTGTGCTGCCTTTTCCCAGGTTTTCCACTACCTCTCCCTGTCCATTTTAACCATCTTCCTGGTCGAGGTGGGGTTCAAGGTGTTCGTGTATCGCCGCGAGTTCTTCCACCACAAGTTCGAGGTGCTGGACGGGGTGGTCGTGGTCGTGTCCTTCGTGCTCGACGTCGTCCTCATCTTCCGGGAGCACGAGTTCGAGGCCGTGGGGCTCCTGATCCTGCTGCGGCTCTGGAGGGTGGCCCGGATCATCAACGGTGGGTGAGGGGGTGTCCTGGGCCAGGGGCTGGATTTGTCACCTCCCCTGAATTACCTGGGCTCGTGTCTTTGTTCTCTCCTCACACCCATCTGTGAGACCCGTGGTCCTGCTCTCCCGGTGAACTCGGAGTTCCACCCCTGTGGTTTTCCTTGCTGGAGTGTGGCCAGAGTCAGGCTGCAATTTCTTTGGAGCAGGGATAGACATTCCCCCTAAAAAACTTCATAATCTATTCCTCTTCACACCTCCTGGACCAGTTTCCCAGCACCACTGCCTGCCACACACTCTGGCTGTCCATCCTGGAGAAGGATGGCTCACATCCTAAGTTTCCACTATAGGATCCTTCTGGCAATGTTTTAACAGGGGAGCCCCTGTCTTCCTGCATCTGCTTCTACAGCAGAGTAGGATTTAATGCTCTGTTCTGCTGCTACTCCTCCATCCCCTCCAGGGATGCTGCAGGAAATGTCCTTGTCTCACCCTGGATCTTTCTTGCTCGGATTCAAAAGTTTTACCATAAAAAGAGAAATAGAAAAGAAAAAAAATAGAAATCAGACTTAAGTGACTTTGCTGTGGAAATCGTAAATTGTTGCAAATAGATGTTAATTCAGAGTATAGCTGGAAACACTTTCTTCCTTCTTGGGGAAGGAATTTTGGGATTCCAAAAAATGTAGCGATGAGATTATCTCTAATTCCTGCGTGAAACCTCAGCCCAACTGCTGTCCTGTGCCTCCAGCTCAGGTTTGGTGAGTGCTCTGTATTTGGCACAGAGGGATCAGAGGAGGGGATGGCTGGGGCTGTGTCTGTTTTCAGCCCTCACTGCCCTTTGGATGGGGAGAACGTGCCTGGTTGGCAGCAGCCGGAGGGAGGGAGGATGTGAGAGCAGCTTGTGGCTTCTCTCAGTTCAGAGTGAAAGTCAGAGAGAAACTGGATTTGCCTGCAGCCCTGGGAGCCACGGGCTCTTACAGCAGAAAACAGGGTTGCTGTTACAAGAAAATCCCTTTATTCTTGGCTGCTCCTGGTTTCCTCACCAGCTTTTTGCACTTGCTGGAGGAACAGAGGGAACAAAGGGAACGTGCCCCACGCTCGGGCGCCGTGTCTGTGCCTGGCACGGTTCAGTGCCCCTGGCAGGGACTGGGTTACACCAGCTGGGGACTGGTAGATGTTACCAATGCAAATAATGCTTTGTCCCCTGAGCAATGAACCCCAAAACCCCAAACCTGCTGCCTGGAGCACGAGAACCAGACACCCCCCAGTGCCTCCTGTGCGTTGTTCCGGAGGAGCCGTGTCGGGGAGGAGGAACAGGATGTTCTTCGTGCTCCCACCAGGCTGATTTATTTTTTCCCCCCTCAGAAAAGGATGGCAAGAAAAAGCCTTTAGTGTGGGGGCTGAGTTCACATGTCATCACCTAATGGTGCTTGTAGAGAAGTGACACCTCTGCCGTGGTGAGACATGGCGTGTCCTTAATGCAGCTGGGCAAGGTGAAGCCAAAACCTGGTGGATCTGAGGATGTGCCATGTCCTGTTCCACTGGGTTAAGCCGTGTCCTGATCCATTGGGATGTTCCATGTCCTGTTCCCCCAGGCCACAGCAATCAGCTCCAGGGCACGAGCCCCAGGCTATGCTCTGCTGTCAGAGCAGGTCCTGACTACACCTAAAACCTGCTAAAACACAACAAAGCTTCCAGCTCCATCCCCCTCAGGCTCTGCCAAGGGAGTACATTCAAATTCAGGATTTGAGTGACAGTCTGAGTGATTAATTCAGCTCTGCCTCTTCCCAGCAGAGTATCCCCATCCGAATCCCTCGGGTGGCTGATTTAAAATCCTCCTCATTAAGAAAAGCACTTGGGAAGGGTGGTTGGAAGATGACAGAACCTAAACTGGAGAGGAACATGTTTAACTCCTTGAGCACAGACCCTGTGTCCTGTTAATTCTGCTCGTGGCTGTTTTACAATGTAAAGCAAATCCCCTGGGAATTGTTCCACAGGAATAATTTTATCGGTGAAGACCCGCTCGGAACAACAAGTGTCCAAGTTAAAACAAGCCAACCTGAAACTTGCAACAAGGCTGGAACAACTGGAACACAGCTGTGTAGAGAAGGTAAAAAGCCACTTTTAATTTGAGTTTACCTGCCTGGGATCCTTGTGCAAGGCTGGCACTGTTGGAATGGTTTCCTCACTGGAAAGTGTGGGGTGCCCTACCCAAGTTCCCTGAGCTGCTCCTCCTCCAAGGAGTGATGTTTCTCTCTGTCCTACTTCCTTTAGCCAGGTTGTCCTGCTTTCCTGCAGCAGTGGGAAGATCTGTGGGAATCTGGGGAGCTATTTTAAGGATATTAATGATTTGACTTTTTGTCTCCTACAGGAGCAAGAAATCGAGAGGCTGAACAACATCTTAAAGCAGCACGGACTCCTCAGCCAGCCAAAGTAGGAGGCCAGTTTTCCAAGGTGGGAATTCTGCCTGGAGAGTGCAGTGTTGGAATCCACCAGTTTGACCTGAAAGGTTTTTCTGTCTCTTTACTTCCTCTTGCATTGTGTTGTCTATAAACATTTTCTATTTGACCACACTTTGATCAGACCTTGAGATTGCAAAAAGAGTTTTGCTGGAAAATTAATTACACACAGTCCCTGTAAACAACAATTTTTTTTCCCCTTTCTTGTACAGTTGTACAGTCAAAATTGCAAAATAATTTAATAAAGACACATCTTTACAAGCTACACACCCATAGAAGTACCACTTATTTAAAATAATTTCATTTTTTCTGTGATACCATTCTTTGTTTGCAACATCTTGTAGAACTTGCAGTAGAAATGATAAGAACTCAGGCTTGAAAAGAGAATTTCTCCTCCACCAGCTGACTGTTCATCATCAATATACATATCTTTGCCAACCATTCTTCTCATATTGTTGGTAGTTTCCTCATTTCTGTTGCTGCTTGTGCCACTTTGTTATTTATATAACATTTGTTTCAAAACCACCAACAGGCCACTCCTTCCCTTGACAATCAAATCAGCCCCAAAATAGAGACAAACATGTGCCACCCCACGTCAGACAGAGCCTTGTTCCACCAGCAGGTCCCAGGTCTGATACTGCTTTTCTCATCCCTTCTTCCCTTTTCAGTTCACTGGGCTACAAAGTTCTTTGTTTCCACAGCTCATAAATCAAGGTGTTAAAAGAACTGGAACATGTCAGAACAGATGTAGGTGAGTGGAACTGCTGGGAACAGTCAGGCTCCAGAAAAGCCATTAAAAAGCAAATTCTAAAGGATCAGGTTGGTGTTCGAGCACAACATGAGCATTTGCAGGTACTGGAAGGTCCCCGTGGAGACACTGTTTGATAGTTGGAGAGTCAGATTCGATGAGTGGGAATTCTGAAAGGTGTCTCCAATGGATTTAAGGCAGACTCAGCTGGAAGGGCCACTGAGCTTTGCTCAAAGCATAACTGAACTGTTCAGATTTTTAAAGAAAGGTAATTAATTAGTGGTGGTGGGGAAATAGCCAGAAATATGTGGCTTATTCATGTATGGGGGTAGATAAAGCAGAGGCCTTATCTAATAGCACATGATTGCTTTAATTAGCAATTTAACTCTGCTGTTATGGGATAATGAAGCCTGGTTTCCTTTGGAGCTGTGCTGGGTCCCTTCCCCTCCTGCCCCCACAGGCAGGGAACGGATCTGATGTGCTGGAAGGCTGGTGGCTGCACATGTGCTGACCAGCAAGTTCATATCTGGACCCTTTTTCCTCTCAGTGAGTTATAATTTGGAACTTTCTACTTAATGTGGGTTTTTTTAACCCTTCTGAGAACCCTCACAAGGTCTCACCCCTTCTCTTTTGACTGATTTTAGCCCAGTTTATCTACAATTTAGATGAAACTCATGGCCCATCATAGTGACTGGGTAAACCTTGGATGGAAAATCACAAAAAGCAGAAATGTGGGGGTTTTTTGATGAATGCTTACCTTAGACAAATGGGTAGAAAAAATCAAAGGGTAACTTGATGTTAATGGTGGGCCAAGCTTTATAGCCTGGCTCTGCAGGTGAGGAAATGTCAGTGAAAACAACAGAACTTGTTACAGGAATAGTCCTTTCCCTTCCTGAGGGAAGCTGCAATGAAAATACAAACAGGAATTAGCTTCAGCCTTCTGTTTGTATGACTGGTTTATTTGGTCTGGGTTACGTTTTCACCTGTCAGTTGTAAATTTTTTTTTCCATATACAGTCCCATGTTTCTTTTCATTAATGATGTATGGATTTTTATTGAAGGGTTTTGGCAAGCAGCCACAGCTGTGTTTGAGCTGGAAGAGAATTGTTGGGTGGAATAAATGTGAAGTGCTGCCTTCAGATAAAGAGATTATCTGGGTCACTGGCACACAGGAAAACAAGCCCTTTGTTTTATCTTAAACCCTGTAATTTAATTACATACCTGCTTCAGTGTGATGGTGGTGAGTGTTGCTGTAACATTCACTATCCTGGCTTGGGGATTGACCAGGGATCCATATTTAGTCCACTTCACTTCTATTCCAAAGGACACGGGAATTTGGCACGAGCTCTGCAAAGTGTTAGAAATCCTCTCATTGTCTGACTTACACAAAAGCCACTTCATTAATTAATTATTCTTGTTATTAAGGGGCAGGGTGACCCAGGAAGCTCTCTGGGGAGGCAGCAGAGGTGCTGCAGCCTTTGCTGCCCCTGCAGATTCTCCATAAAAGTGACTCTGTACCTGCATTTCAGCAGGACTGTCCTGCCTCAGGCAGGATTTGGCTCTTGGTGATTGTGCTCGGCTGGGACAAAGTAGGAATATTGGTGGGACAGCAGAAAATCCTGGACTCTGCCAGGGCAGAATTTTGAAGCCAACAAGCTGAACTATTTTTAGGCATTTCTTCTTGAACTGTCACGTTTCTGGTGACAGAAATTACTCACTCTTTGGTTGCAAAAGCATTCAAGGCACCTATACACAAAGTGTCATCTCCTATTGTGCTTCAAAGGATTCTTGTTCTCTTACCCTGACCTGGTGCAAGAGGAGAAACAGTGATTCTGTTACTTCACTCTTTCAACCTCACCTCTGATGCTTCATCCCCTCTGAAGAGTAGGACTAAACTATGGCTAGAAGTCATTTTGCACCCAATGTTGTCCTGAGCCATAAGAGGGTAGCAGCTTGATTCAAAATAAACCCTGTCTTCTACAGCCAGAGTGAAACTCCTCATTTGTGAACATTCCAGGAATTTCCTCCAGTTTGTTTATGCATTTTTTCCCTCCCATATTTTTTCTTCTAACTGGTTGCTGCATTTTTAGGCTGGGAAGGTTGAGCTGGTGCTGCATTACAGGTACAGAGGAGAGAGGACAGTGAGAGTGAAGGTGGAGGGTGGTGTGACTTTTCACCTGTTCTGAGATGTGGAGGTGAGTTATGGGCACCCAGTCAAGCACATCCTGGGCTTGGGAATTCCCAAATGAGGCCACATACTCAGGAAAGTTTTGGCCCTTCAGTACATCCAGGAGGGTCTGTGCCAAAGGCTGGCATTTCATAGCTGCTGTAATTCTTCCAGAAAACAAAACAAAACAAAAAAGAGATGAGTTACAGCAAAATCCATTGGTTTGGCACAGGCATCATTTCTCCTGCTCCCATGCTCTGTTCAAGCCTTCTGGCTACAGTTGCTAATGCCACAATCTTTTCAAGAGAAAGACCATTGTTAATTAAATGCCATTTTTTAGAATTAAATACTCCGTTCCTGATACTCCTCCAGCTGTAGGAACAGCCAGGACCTGAACAGAGCCTGAGGCAAAAGGTTGTCAGAGGGTTAAAAGCACTAAATTAAAAATAAAGATTAGTTCTTACCGTAACTTACAGCCTGAGATCATGTTATAACCAAATAACACGGGGGCTCTGGCTCCCTGTGCTGCCAGGCAGTCCTGGGTGGATGTGCTCTGCAGGATGGAGAGCTGGCTGGGTTTGTTGGTGCTCTGAGTGATGCCAGATGTAACACACAGTTAAAGGGAAATTCAGCACTTCATGTGTTTCAGGACAAAAAAAGAATCCTTAATCATATCCTTAAAATACATCTGAAAGTGCTGTAATAGCTCCAGACTCCTCTCACAGTGTGAAGCACCAGGGTGTGCAATGAAGGTCTAAATCCACTCACTACACAGTCCCAGGAGACTGCAGTCAGGACTGAGTCATTCCCTTCTAAAACACAGCCAGAAAACCACTCTTTTATACAGATATATTTTACAGATGTCCAGGCTAGAAAGGGTTTGTGAAGATGGACCAGAACAAGTGCTGCAAACAGAAATTCAGCAGGGAAAGGATATCCTTGAGGCCAGAATCCTGCTCTCACAGGCAGCCCGACAACATAACCAGGATTGCCACTGAGAGGAACTGGCTTTGTGTCTACCTGCAATGCAAACACACAGGATTAGATCTTACCCTGCACTGAAAGGGCTGGAAAACACAGAAATATTTCAGTTATTTTAGGACTATTTATTGCCTGGAATGATGAGTAGTAAGGCTGTAAGTCAGACTTTGCTTTCTCTGGATACAGAGCCACAAGATGGGGCTTGTAAATGTGACACTTTGGAGGCCTTTATTGCCCAGCTCTGAAATGCTGCCTCCTCTGTGTATCCAGGGCAAGTCATACTTTACCTTGCTGCTCACAATTGTTCTGATTCAAGTTTAATAAGTTTTGTAATTAAATGTCTCTCAACAAGTCACCCATGACATCTCCACAGTTACCTGAGTGAAGCTGATTTGGAAGCTCTGCTGGATTGAAAGTGCTTCTTTGGTAATTGCCCCCAAGACAAAAGCAGCAGCTGCTTCTATTATTTCTCCTGTGTCCGTGTAGGTAATGTGATAACTCACCTGAAAATTAAACATTTTAGATGTTCATTTGAATAAATGCATAAGAGAAACTAGGGGGGGAAAAAATGAAGCTAAAATTATTCAAGTGTTTTATTTCTTCCTTGCTTAAGAAACTCTGAACTACAGAGTGGGGATATATTATATCCTCTAGAGCTTCTTCAAAACTGACTTCTTTAAGCATAAACACAATGTTCATCTACTTAAGATTAAAAAATGAGATGATGTGCAACATCTATTCCTCTCTCTGTGCCATCAGTGTGCCTGAAATCATCTTCTACCAAGCATAAAGCAGATTCTACACTCATGTTATTGTCTGTTTTGTCATATACACACAGTAATGACAGACAAGGATTTCAACCTTTCAAGGATTTCTCCTTGAAATGTTGCATATAGTTATTATTTTGTTGCAAAACACTCTCTTTTATCCCAAACTCGGTGTCTCTCCTGTGACATTTGCTTTGGGGATGTCACAATCCATGGGAACTTCAAGGCCTTCCTGACAGCTTTGCAATTCATGCATCAGAAGTGATTTGCTGCAGAGATTCCTCCCATCAAACACCAACAAGGGCTGTCAGACCTACCCCAAGGACTATATTTAAGCACAGTTCATCCAAAATCATGGGGAGCCTCAGGACATCAGCACCCTTCAGTAAAGTCCTCATTCCATCCAGGGACTGGACAACTATGGACTGGACAGAAATATTAACCTGGAAAACAAACTCAGGTCAGTTCTGAAGGTGGGTATAATTAATTTTGGCTCTTTCTGTGTTATTGTATTCGTGACCCTTCCTGGTTCTGTCCCACAGTCAGTAATTCTCTGAACAATTACTGTGTTACACATACTGCAGAAGGTCAACCAAAGGATCTATTTTTAAGTAAATAAAGAGATTTACTTAAAAAGAGAAAGTTTTATATGAGGGGAATATATCAGGCTTGAATGTTTGCAGGCAGCATATTATCTTGCTGTTGCTGAGTACCATTACTGATGGCAAATTATATTTTTTTTTACTGTAAATATTAAGGATTAAGTCCCTGTTCTGATCAAGTCAGTGAAAAACTTCCAATGACTATAACTAAGAATTTTGCCCCCAGCTAATTTAGAAAGGTACTTACCATCTGACTTGATTTGGGCACCTAGGGAAGAATAAAAGGCCAAATTAAAACAATAGCAAAGGTAAGACCTATCACAGTAGCAGTTAATCAAAGCAGGTAAGGCTTATCTCTTTTGCCTATTTAACTCCCTCATTACAATAACTTTCACACTGTGGAAGTGATTGGATACACTCCACAGTATCCAGAGGTAGGAAAAGAACTGCTGTTCTCTGTGGCCAGTGGAAAAAATCTTATAATCCAATCCCCTCCTTCCTCTGAGTCCTGGAACTATTCACAGACCTCCAGTTTAGGAAGTTGGCCAGGCTGTGCTTCCCAAAGAAATGAAGAGCTTTTGTTGTCCTGTTCTGATGGTGAGAATTCCATAGTTGCATGCTCTTTAAACCAAAAAATGAGAAGCAAGTCTCCTTTTTGTTATACAGCACGAAAATTTCCACCAATATTTCATGGAAAAGCAGAAGTATTGGACCAAGGTCATCAGTCAGGTCTGAAAAATACCTTCATAAAGCACCACTTCATCAAATTTCACTTTTCTGATTTCCCAATGAGTGTTTGAGTCACATCTTTGGGACAGGACCAAGAGTTGGACTCTGACCATGAAGCAATTGTGCAGAATTCTGATGGGATACAGAGAGCAGTGACTCATCCAGGAACACATTCCCAAGAGCTGGAGCTCTGGAGGTGATGCAGGCAGAGTCTGTCCCATATTTATCATCCCAGGGTACAGCTCAGCCGTCAGAACCAGCTCTGTGAATAAAGAAAGGTGCTTGTAAAGATTAGATTTGTCCTTCAGGGCATCACTATTCCTGACTAGGGAAGAGGGAATGAGCACCATTCCTGGAATTGTGTTTATCCATGACTGGGGTGATGGATCATGGCTCTGTAGGTCGCTGGCACAGCCTCCCTGTGCCTCCCACTGACTCTGCTTCCCACCTGGAAGGGAGGAGAGGAAGGGCAGGAGCAGCTCTTTGCTTTGGCAGCTCCAAGTACCCACTGACTGTGGTGGGAAGCATCTTGGTAGAGGATTCCAAGAACCACCCCCCACTGGGATCTGCTGGACAGGCCAGGGTAGAGATAAACTGGTTAAACAGATTAACTGCAACAATTACCAAGACATTCCTCCTGCTCCAGCTGTCCTTCCTAGCAGTGAGGATGGGGCTTTCTGAACGCCCTGCTGTCCCAGTGCTCCCAGTAAGGCTCCCTGGCTTACTGGTTTGCTGTTTCTTTGGCCAGCAGCTCCACCTGCTGGCACTGGCAGGGCTCCTGCTCTGCCCTGTGGCCACACTGTCCCCAGTACCACCATCTTCTGATGTCACATCCCACCCTCAGCTCCATTTGGGAAGGGGATCTCCCTACAGAGCGACTCCAGCATTTATTCAGCCTTGTCCAGTTCCTGCATCTGATCCTTCCTGACACCCACTGACCTCTCCTGAGCTGGGCCACTGTCTTGGCAAGCAGCATATGGCTGTTATTCCTCACTGTTCCACTGAGGAAGGGGAATTCATCTTCAAATTCCAAAGCACTCCACTGCTGGAGCCTGGCCTGGCCATCCTTGTTCTCTCCTGGTCCTGCAGCCAAGGAGAACTCTAATTTTGGGAGGACATGGAAACACTCAAAGCCCTTCTGAGGCAGTTTTTTCCACTTCTTCCCCAGCAGGTTGATCAAAAGCCAACATCTGTGAGCAATCCCTGCATGATTCCAACAAGGTTCTCAATGAGCAGGAGAATGATCCCACCTGTGAAAGTGGCTTTCCTTTCCTGTTGGCACCTTTGGAATCTGTAAGGAGACTGGAAGGGGTCTTTAAGCAGTCACTCACTGCTAATTAAATCAATTTAAATAATCACATAGATTAAAAACACCTTAATGGTAGAGAGGATGCTGTTTCCTGAAGAGTTTCGGCTTCTGGAAGGAGCCATCGGGTCAAGGTCTGATGGGTTTCAGGTTCAATTTTACAGGAGTGATTTCTTTGTCTTCCTGAATATCCTCAAAGGGGATTTATTTATACATGAGACATCATCCTCCAGGTCAAAAAGGGAGGGAAAAGCAGGCTTAGCTTTGAAAAATAACCACAGACTGGATGTGGTAGTTGGCAGATCCAAACAAATTTGCTGTCTGTGGGATAAAAGTCATGTTCTTTGAGGAGCATACGGGAGGTTTAGTATAGTGTGCCATCAAAAGTGAGGCTTGGGGGAAAGGGACAGATGCAGAGGATTAAACCTTAGTTTTACCAGCTCTTTAAAACTCAGATTTCTTGGAATTATGCACTCTGGTAACAGGCTTCTTGGAAAAGCCTGAACCTGCACAAAAGCATGAAAGTGCAGCAAGCACTGGTTCAGGGAGCTTGTCTCTTCAAAACTATTATTCTGTATTTCATCTTTGACTATATTATTTATATTTGGCTAAGCAGAGAACAGAAAATTATTCTGTTACCAAAGCTTGAAGTAAAAACATTCCCAAAGGCTTTCTGTATAAAAGTCTGTTGTATAGGGAGATGTTTTTTTCCCAACCCACAATTTAAAAATCCAAATAAAACACCATATCCTTTAGTAAATAGACATTACTTAATTCTGCAGATTCAAAAAGATCTGTAATATCAACAGGCAGCTGTACAACTGTTTCAAATCATACTTACTGCCAAAATGCTGGAGTTGATGTAGAACAGCATATTAAGTGCTTGAATGCTTTCACATTTTTCCACACTTACTGATCTGATGCATTTTGTGGCCTGGTTTACTAAAAACCCTAAAAAAAAGGTCCAAGTATTGAAGGAAATTAAAGAGTAATTATGAAAAGCAGAAATAAATAACATTATAAGAATCTTAAGTACAAGCAAAAGTGAAAGTAAATGTCACCTCTACTGTAGATAAGGATACAAAGAATGATACTTTCTTATATTCTCACAAAATGGTATGAGATAAAATATTCCTTCTTAACAAGCAGTTGAAGCTTCATAAAAGCTAGAAAAAGATTTATTCCTTCATTTTTGAGATCCCATAAGGTTTTTTGTTTCACAAGAGACCTCAGCTCTCCTCCAGTCACCACCAGGACTGTTGTGAGACCCCGCTGACAGTGGGGTTTGGGAAATGCAGGTGTGGGTTTGCTCATGGTTTTTATTTTTCTTTTCCTGCCTCTGCAGATTTTGAGGGAACTGTGTGAAAGGTTAAAATGTAGAGCTCCAGCCTGCAAGTGGGACTTGAGAAAGGGACCTCAGTGTACAAAGGGACAGCTGGCAAAGGCTGCAATACCCTGTTCCCTCATGGGGTCACCCTTGTGCTGTTTGATTAAACCAATTAGGCCAAATAGGGTGTTTTACTGGTGGACAAACAGCCCATCAACAAGATGCTCTGGGGTTTACTTTGAATGTTCAACAGAGATGCAAAACAACTTTCATTCTATGTCTAAAAACCACAGAGAAACAGAAGCTATTTGAAAATAATTTGCTCGTTTTATCTGGATTTACATTGAGGGGTGTGCCACCTTTCTGCCTGACGAATCTCAAGCCAGAGCAGGATCCTCTAAAGCAAATAAAATGGAATTCAAATGTGTTTTCCAACCTGCAGGATTGGCATCAGAGCACCAGGAGGAGACAACAGGACTTGGCAGTCTCAGAAATGCATCCTCTGTCTGTACAGGAACCCCATACTGCCAAAAAAACCACGGATTCAGGGACACAGGTGTGTTTCAGCCCATCAGAGTTTTACAGCATTTTCATTAACAATAAATATGAATAGAAGAAGTGCTTATTTCCACTGTATCTGTCAATAATTTATACTATTTTGTGCATCAGTTTTTAAGCTACTGGTACAGCAAAAGAAAGCTACTTAATTTTCAAAGTCCTTAAAAATCTAGTTCTCTTTCTCAGTTAACACAAAATACTACACTTCTGCTTTTTACATGTCCATATTTAAAGACTAATATAAATTTTGTCTCTTCCAGAAGAGCTGTACTATTTAAAAGCAGATGCAAACAATGCTGCCTTGTTCTTTTATGGAACAATCTAATACTTATTGAATCAGATAATTATTTACCTCATATCTCTGAGTTTCATTTGCATCAGGAGGGTCTGGAGCATCTGTGTCCGTATTCCAGCTCTCAGGCTCAGCACTGAAAGCAGCACTCCCAAACTCATTAAGCAAATCATCAAAATTTTCTGGAGTTGGCATTTCAGGGGACTTGAGGTAAAGTGCTTGTTTATCTGCCCAAACATTTAAAACATAAGATAGCTTTTAGGATATAAAGGACACAGAAACAGTATTTAGTAACCATTTCTCCTTCTGGAGTGGTTAAAAACTCTGTGATAGAAAAATACCAATGCAGCTTAATCTTTAAGAGAAAACCTTAATTCATCTCGCCCGGATGCATGAAAGCACAAATTTTATCATAAGGAAAGTCCCTGGCTTTCAAAATCCTGGTTTCTAACAGCAGAATTTCCAAACCACACATGTCAATTAGTGTCTGCAGTTTCCATGCTAAATATTCAGGTGATTACTGCACAGTCATAATTAAATTAAGAGGACATAGTGCTGATCACTTTTAACTGCCCTGCAAGTCACTTCAAACTTGGGCATAAAGGATTTGTACCACAGATTTGGATCGGATTGGGAAGTCACTTTTCCATGACACAATTTTAAATTTGATTTATAGGAGATGATAAATTATTTTTTTAAAAAAAAAGGCACCCAAAACTGTATGTTTTTTTTCCAACAGAGACGAGTTAAAAGTATGAGATGTTTTAAGTCCGTGGTTTCACAAGTGAAAGGATCACAACATAAGGACCATGAGCAGGCAGAATCACCAGTTTTCTGAGGTTTAATAAAATAGAAACAGTTTTAAATTTAGTCTCTTTCTGGTATCTAAAGAGCTTACAAAAATAACATCACAATGTTATAGTGTAATAGTGGCAACAACTCTACTTACAGTTTGTAGCATGAATGCAGAAAATACTGGGGTTGACTTGGTCAATTAATTGAAATATCCTTTCTGGTGGGTCTGCTCCAACATCAAGAGAATATACAGCAGCTTTCTGCCTGCACAGGTGCCTGTCACCTCTGCAAGCAAGAATAATAAATAAATGATCCACTGGAAGTTAGTGTTGACCAGATTTTAAAGTTCTTTCCACGTACTCAAGCAGCATCACAAAAAAAAAGCATAAGATTACTGTTTTAACACAATTTGTATAATCATGCAGCCTTAGAAGGCTCCTGTTGTTTTATACTCTGTGCTTAGTAATAAATAACACAGAATTCTTTCACATGTGGTATTTAGCAGAGAAAACTGTGAGCAGCAACATGAAGGAAGGTAAGAAACAGGGAAGAACCTGCCAGGGATAATATTGGACCTAAAATGACAAATGGGATGGGATCCAGATGGTTGAGGCACCAAAAATGCAGGTACATCCAAGTGGGAAGTCTGAGCTTTAGAGTAACGTGATGGCAGGGCAGGAGAAAAGGTCAGTTTTGTGGATATGGGAATAATCTCCACTTTGGGCAGGGAGTGGGAAGAGTCCTGCTTGAGGTCAATGTAAAAGAAGGGCAGAGTGAGAAACAGGAGGTGGAACAGCCCCGTGAGTCGGGGAGAAGTGTCTGAGGCTGTGCCAGGGGTTCATCCCCAGCCCAGAAGTGCAGGAATGTGCCAGTTCAGGCCCTGGGAGCACTGGAGTGTCCCACATGCTGCAAATCCAAGCTGAGGGTGCCTGTGAAACCAGTTTTCAGCAGGGATAGGGAGCAATCAAGGACAGGCACTGGGAAGTGAAACAGCTTCTAGAAATTTGGAAGCCTGGAGTTAAACTCTTCCATGATGTGGATCACTTGTGAGTAGGATCTCATCGTAAATCAACTCCTTTTCCTGCTGTTTCAGAGACCACACGGATCCCTCTTCCTTGGGATCAGCCAAACTAAATAAATATACAAATATATATAAACCCAGATGTAAATAACGAGATGCACAATACTTGCAGACATTAAAAATCCCCTGGATTTTCAGGCAAAAGGAACATTTCACACAAAAAGAATTTGGGGAAAGAAACACAACTTCATTTTAGGCATTTCTAGTTGACAAAGAGAGAACAGTCACTCCAGGCAATTAAAGTGTCACTCAGGAAGGTGTTGATTAGACCTTTCTGATATATAAATATCTCTAAATGGGTGGCAGGAGTCATTGTGTGCAAGAACAATAAGAAACCACAGTCTGGCATGATTGCTAATTCAAATTTCAAAGCACCAAGAATAAACCCCAGTGCTCAGATTGGCATAATTTATACAGAAGGTGGGCTGAAAAGCTGCACTTATTGTTCTCAGAGTTCACCAAGAGATCTTTTTTTTTCCATTAGGATTTTGAAGTGAGCTTTCTGAACTCCTTTTTGAGAAGAAGAAATGACATGAAGGGGTTTTTAGAGCAACTAAACAGCAAAGAAACAACTATTGGCTCTACTTTATTGGTATAATGTTAAATTTTAGTGGTGTTGAAGTGACAGACTGGCAGGGAGGTAGCAGGTTGGGATGGTGACTGTAAGACCAGAACAATGCTCACACGACTTCAAAAAGCTCTGAATTGATCAAGTTTTTAGCTGATATCACAAATGTAATCAAAGATGTTGCTGATTAATTGCTAATGACCTACAGAGGTGGTCAGATGGTACCATTTTCCTTAACTTCCAGGCACTTCATTATATTAATGGAAGTCTAAAGATACATCATTTTCCCCTCTAAAAAAGCATCACCACCTGAGTGTCCACAGACAGGAGCCCAGGAGGAAAGAAGGAATAAGGGAAAGAGAAATGGGTGTTTGTACACAAAGAGCATTGATTGCATCCAGAGAATGGTTCCAGTACCAATAACTACGTGCTATTTTATGGCAGCACCTTGTAGTTGAAGGTCATTGGAAATTTTTAGGAGGGGAATGAGAACCTGCAGCATTCAGGATGCATGCACTTGGGAAATTGTGAAATGCAACCATATATTTAGCAACTGCTGCAAGTTAGTGAAGAGCTCTCTCAAATAATTTGAAAGAACTATGTCTACAGACTTCTCATTTAATGATTTTAAAATAAGGGAGCTTGTTTAAGTATTGGGGCCAAAGGTTTCCAGTCCCAGGGCAGGAAGATCTGGCGAAAGTGGAGTTAGGATGGCAGCAGGGAGGGGCTGGGAATTGGTGAGAGGAGAGGGCAGAGCCCTGATTTTGTGTTTTAGTGTTATTTATCCACTCACGTGACCACAGGGACTGAACAGGCAGTGAAGAGGCTGAACTCCTCGGGGCTGCAATCGGGGTCACAGCAGCAGTTGACATCACACTGTGCCACCAGCAGGTCACACACACACAGCCTGGCAACTGCAGAGAGATGAAATCAGAACTGGGACTGGGATTCCACACCTCCCAGCCCGCTCCCGAGCACCCTCACTCTTCACCTCCACTTGGTTCGGACAACGGGCAAATCCAAACTCACTTGCTCTTTTTTGAAGGTATTTTTAAAAGCCATCCTTAGAAAAAAATCTATTTGGGACACATGGGCAAACTGAGACACTAAAATCTGACAGTGAGAAATAAAAAACCCAACCTAACAGGAATTTTGAAGGCATGAAAATATACTCAGCCCTGCAGATGTCAAAAAAAAAAAGAGATACAAACAAGAAGGTGTTAATTTTGATTTACTGGGAAGAAATATAAAATATTTTGAAAGAGTGAGATGTTTATAAGCATTGAGCAGTAAAACACTTCCCTGATGTGCCAACATAACAAGAGTTGACTTCTTTGAAACTGTTTTTTCTCTCTGTCTTTAGCTGCTGTGAAATATTGTAATCACAGAGAGAAGAATTGTTAATAATTCTGTAAACAGGCCCCATAAGATGTTTGGTAACTTAGAACAGTCTTAGGTTTTCAAGTTTATAAATGCAAAGAACAGATATTACTCTACTGAACTGTTTTGAGAGTTGTTCTATAATAAATCTTGACAAAAGAACAGCACAGAATGAGGAAAATTAAGCTCAGTGTTTTATAGGCAAGACATTCAAAGGGTATTTTCATAATTAATTCTTTTATTTCAGTTGGACTGTTGTCTGTTTCTCTACGGCTTCCTAAGTGTTCTCTGACCACCTGAACAGTATCCAGGTATTTCCTGGAATCTCTGAAGTTCTCCCTGTTCTGTTGGCTGAGTTTACCCCTGGGATCCTTAGTTCACCCCGTGAACAAGAGCATTTTAAACATGAATGATTAGATTGCAAGGTTATGTCTCCCAGATTAGGAATTTAAGTCTCTTTTCCCTAAGGAGGGAGCACTGGGACAGGTTTCATTTGGCAACTAATCCATAGAAATCTGAACTGATGGAAATAAGAAGTTAAATTAAAATGTAGCCAATAAGACAGCAGAAAACACCTTCTGAGAGCACAGTAACAACGATTTATTTACATATTGGTATGACAATGTATCCGCAGCACTGGGGCTGAATGAGGAATCTGGGGGCAAAGTGGGCACGTGGAGCTCTCCAAGGAGATCCAGGGGAGCCTCTGCGGGGTCAGACCCTGCGCGGGGAGCGGGGGAGGGCTCAGAGCAGGGGCTGGAGGGGCAGGAGACCCTGCCCTACACCCGCGGGCACACACAGGGCTGGGTGATGCTCAGATATGTGACGGACACATCTTGCTGCAGCAACCCCCAGAGATGCCCAGGGAGAAGCCGGGCAGTTTTCCCAGCCCCGGGGCGGCTGCAAGGGGAGGGAAAGAGGCACCAAGGGCCCAGTGGCGACAGGAGGCCGCGCGCGGGGCTCCGCTCGCCCGGGAAGGGCCGTAGCCCCCGCAGGGCACCCACCGTCCGTGATCGGGGCCGGCACGCAGTGGGCCCGCGCCTGGGCGGCACCGCGAGTGTCTGCGGGCTCCTCGCTCGGCTCCGCTGCCCGGAGCGGCGGCGGGAGTAGGAGGAGGAGGATGAAGAGAAGGGTGTGGACGGGAATGGCTGCTCTCCCGGGCGCCGCCATGGCGGCCGCCCTTAGCAACGGTTGCCGGGGCAGGGCGACCCCGCCTCTCGCGAGACTTGGCGGGGCGGAGGGGAAGGGCCGCGCCCCGGCTAAGATGGCGGCCGGGGTGGGGGAACCTCAGGGTCTATCAGGGTCTGTCAGGGTCCTCCGGGCTCCGCCATCGCCCCTCAGCGCGGGGAGAGGTCGCACGCTGGGCTTTGGCTGGGTATGGCCGCCGCGGTGGTGTCAGGCAGCCGCTTGTGCCACCCAGCGCCCTCAGGAACAGTCCAGACCGGCGTGGATCGGGTGCTGCCCCCTCAGTACCACAGAAAAGGTTTCTGGTGTAGTGAACCGCGAAGGAGGTCTGGGGAGAAAAGCTGCTGGAAGGCCACACGCAAAAAAAAAAAAAAAAAAAAAAAAAAAGTGTGCGGAATGGTGCCTTGTGAGAGAAAAAATTCTATATTTCACGTTTTTTTGCAACGGTGTTTTTAGTAATCTTTCCTTAAACTAATTTTTGAAGTTTTAATGTTTCTCCTTCTGAAAATGCCTTGGGTCCTTCATGCTCAGTGTATATTCATTCATTAAGCTGGTTAGAAATTTTGCCATATATGCAGGTAACTTTGAGGTCTTTTTTAACCTAAATGGTTAATGATTCTAATGATTCTAAATTATTCTATTTTTATAGTAAATTGGAAGAGTAGGCTAGAGAGTGACTAGTGATCAGGGTTACTTTACAGATGTAACATCCAGGCTTCAGTTCAACAAGGAAATTAATTTTTAAAATGAAATTTCATCGAGTTTATGTTCTGCATTACCTGAGGGGAAAGTTTGTCACTCTCTACAGCTCCCTGGCAGGAGGTTTAGATTAGATATTAGGAAATATTTCTTCATGGAAAGGGTTGTCCAGCATCAGAACAGGCTGTCCAGGGAAATGGTGGAGTCACCATCCCTGGAGGTGTTCAAAAACGTGTGGATGTGGCACTTGGGGACATGATTTTGTGCTGAGTTGATGGTTGAGCTCTAAAAGCTCTAACATTCCAGTTTCATCCATTGGAAATGGAAATAATGTCCCTCCTTTGCGCTGTCCACTTCCCCCCAGGGGTGCGATGAGTTACACAAGAGCATTGACTGTTCACTCCGTGTGAGGCCACCAGGGTGCTCTGATGTTCTCCAAGCGCTGCTAACCTGGATTTGAAGCAGCTCCATGTCACGTGGCAAAGTCCTGGAGTCCTCCTTCCCCTGGAAACACCTCATTGCTCCAAGGACATGGTCACATGAAGGTGAGAATCCGCTGTGCTCCGCTGTACCTCAGAGCTGTGTGTGCCTTCCGTCCCAAAATAACCTCACTGGGTCTCCAGCCTGCGTTCCTTGTTCCAAAGTTTCTGTGTTCACCTTTCCTTTTGGGGATGAAGAACTGGTGTGTTCAGTCTCTTTGTTTTTTGCTGTTCCTGAGGTTTTTTGGATTCCATTGGAAGCATCCATGCACTTCCTTTCAGCCAGGTGGTCAAAATGATGTTACAAGTGTTGGGTTTGTTGTTTTTTTCAGGCTTAGAGAGCAACAGTGACTTCAAGACACTTCCATTTTGAAAGGAAATTGTAAAAATGGCACGATAGGACTCTTTTTTTTCTTCTCACTGAGGCTGTGTCAGGACTGGCTGCAGCCATCCAAGGGAATATAGCCCTGTATTTGAGGAAATCCTGGGGATCTTTAAAAATCCATCTCTTGCACTGTCCCAGAGCAGGGAAACAAAAAGAAAAGCAATCCTACAAGTCCTGCAAAGTTGGAAACTTGGATTTTAGATTACAGGCTTGGAGGGAAAGTGGTGCTTGGTTTATTTATCACCATTGGTTATATTCTGTCTTCTTGTTCCTCTGCAGTGCCATGAGATAATTAATATTAGAACTTGTTAGTTTACATGTTTCTGATGCATTTAAAATCGGTTAAAAAAGGGCTGTTGACAATGCACCAGGGAAAATAGAATTTAATACATACTTTTTGCATCCAGAATTACTTGGCAAAGCTGATGGTGCACAAGGGACCAGACTCCAAGATGAAAAGCAAGCCTTGCTGGAATGTGAAAGCACAGATTGCACCCTGGATGAATGTGGGCAGGAGCTGGATGAATAAAGAGGTATTAATTCTTCCTGCATCTACCATTGAAATAGAACTGGGCGACTGTTCAATAGCAAAGTAGGATGGAATTAATCTGTTTTACTCATGACCTTTTTTCTTTTCTCAGAAGTGTTAGGGCTTCACTCAGAGCAACAGTTCACCTAAAAACCCATCTCCAGTATTTGCTGTAAGAGGTCAAACAAGCTGCTGTGTCACTTCAGCTCCCTCTTTATTGGTGTTCAAGTGAGCGACTCTGAATTCCTCAGCTGTAGGATGTGATTGTTCAATAGGGTCATGAAGCCTCTCCAGAAATATGTACTCACAAGCAGAATGCAAAGTCCCTGCAGAAAGGAAGTTAAATAAAATACAACCCCCCCACCTTTGTCATGGAGAGAGGAAAAGCAAAATAAAAACCCATGTTTAAGAAAAACCGTTTGAACACCACTCCCCCACAAAACCCACCTTTATGTTGGATTTCTGAAACAGGCTCCAAAGAGCAACTCCAAGTGTGTAGGACAAGATCAGGACATCAATAAATAAGGCTTGTTCTCCATCACAGAGATTTTAATTTATCCTGTCAACATGAGTTAATTAATAATTAAAGAGGGCACTGTGATCCTCGTGTGGGAGGTCCTAGAAAATGAAGATGCAGCAGTTGAAGATGCAGCAGGGTGCTGTCTATTAAAAAGCATCTTAAGGGATTTGCTGTATTACTATTTTAATTATAATTTAAGCTGCAAGATTTTGATGTGCATTTAAGCATTACAGCGTGGCATTTCCAATGCAAACATGGCAGGATTGAGTCCCATCAAGTAAATCCAGGGAAGTAACTGTAACTGATTATAAACACAAATAAAACTAACACCGATGTCTGATGAAATGCTAAGACTAAGCAAAAAGCACTACTTATATTTCAGTTTCTCTCATCCAAGCTTATTGTAATAATTCACAGTAAACTTTGGTTTTTAGCCATAGAACTTTCACCACAGCCCTTTCCTTTTAAATTACTTGAGATTTAAATAACTTAATTACTTTTATACAGCTAAAATGATTGCTGTTCCTCAGAACAGAGGGCACTAGAGTTTTCAGAACAGTGCACCAATACCTGTCCTGCCCATGGACATGTATCATTTGATTAAATGTTTTAATTTTATTTTTGGACATTTAAACTCTGAGTAGAATCAGCTTATTAACCACAGTCTCATAAATTATGATGGATGAGGTGTTCAGACTTGTTAGGAAGGTTTTAGTGATAAAAAGTGCAGAGTTAATATAATAAAAGAGCTTCTCTAGGAAGTGGTATAATTCCTGTTATCTTAGACTTTTAAAATGAGGAGAAAATCCTAAGAGGAAACAGTTTTGGATGTGCATTACTTGATCTAAATATATCTTCTCAGCTTAATGTCATTCATAACAATTTTAGCACTGACCAAAAGTCAGAGTCACCAATAAACTACAATATTTTGTATTTTATAGGGTGACTTGGGTGAGGTTCTAAAGGAATTGAGAAACTGGTACAGAAAATAAATCAGCTCTCCGGGATTTTGGACAGCTGGGATTTGGGAGACCTTCAAGCCCCTTTCAGTGCTAAAGGGGCTCCAAGAGAGCTGGAGAGGGACTTTGGATGTGGCATGGAGTGACAGGACAAGGGGGAATGGATTCCCACTGCCAGAGGGCAGGGTTAGATGGGATACTGGGAAGGAATTCTTGGCTGTGAGGGTGGGGAGGCCCTGGCACAGGCTGCCCAGAGAAGCTGTGGCTGCCCCATCCCTGGAAGTGTCCAAGGCCAGGTTGGATGGGGTTTGGAGCAACTTGGAATAGTGGAAGGTGTCCCTGCCTATGGCAGGGGGAGGAACAAGATGATCTTTAAGGTCCCTTCCAACTCAAACCATTCTGGAATTCTAGCTGGTGATCTTCTGCCTCTGCCTCTTCTCTTGACTTTTCCATGTGGGAAGTCTGGTATTGTCCTTCTCACATGAGTTTTGTGTTTAATGCAGCTGTGCTGTCTTGAACTTCATCTTTCCAAGGCTGATGTTGGTTTTGCCATATGACAGATCACTCTAAGAGTTCAAGTGGACAGGCATTTGGAATTAGAGTCAAAACAAAGTCAAACCAGGCTGAAATAAACTGTGTTCCGGTCTAGCACAACATTAGCCCTTAAATAAATAGTGAGGAGCCCGGGCTGTCTGTAGGGCAGATGGCATTACAGGTAATATTTATCATGCTTCAATCTCAGGACTAAGATACTTGGGAGAGAGGATTGACGTCAGCTCCAAGTGAATCAGTTTTAAAACCAGCTGAAAACCTGCTTGTGCCTCCAACAGTTGATTATATTGTGCAGCACTTCTGCTTTGTGCATTTGTTGGTCTGAGCAAGCCTGGCAGGAAGAGTTCATTTTGCTTTTGCAGCTTAAATGGGCTGATGTAAATAGATCTTGGACTTTGAGGTGGGAAGATTCCACCCAGCTGCAGTAACCAGGGGGATGCCCTTTGCTCCAGTTTTTGTGCCAAATTTGTGCGCTGGGGAATTTTAAACAAATATCACTTGGCAGAACATGGACCCTCAGGGTACAAGAAAAACACCGGAGTGAGGCAGCAGGGCATGGGCTGGGAGGGATTTACAGGGAGAACTATCCACACTGACACTGAGCAGGGGGGAAAACCAGTTCTGAACTGTTTTATTAAAAATAGTTGGGTTTTGTGTCACAGGAGCCCAGTGATCCTCTGAATGAAAACCAGTTTCTCATCTGGGTACAGTGTGCAGGAGTGTGAAAGAGTTCAGCAAAGGTTACTAATTATCATGTAAATTATGAGGTCTTCTGGCTGTCTGGACAGACCTGGGTGGCTGGCCTGGGATAGAATCATAGAATGATGGAATCACTAAGGTTGGAAAAGACCTCCAAGATCAAGTCCAACCTTCAACTGAATACCCCCATAGCCACTAAACCATATCACAAAGTGCCACATCTCCTTGTTTTTTGAACACTTCACAGAATGATGACTCCACCACTTCCCTGCAGAGCCCGTTCCAAGGATTTTCAAGGTGTTCCAAGGATTTTCAAGGTTTTCCAAGGATTTCCAAGGATGGAGGAGTGTGAACTGCTCATGGTGTGCCTTGGCTCTGGAGCCCTCACTGAAACATGGAGTTCTGCTCTGCCAAGTGTGTTTGTCAGCCCTGAGCTCACACCAAGTTTCTCAGCCCTGTGAGTCAGGGCTGGTGGGCAAAGAGGCATGGAAAGCATCCCATCCAGCTCTGGGAATTGGGATGAGGCATGGAGAGCTTGAGTTTAGCTAGAAGTGTGTGGGGGCTCCCAGGCTGAGCAGCACAGCCCAGCTGCTGTGGGACACACCACCTTGCACTACGGTGAGCTGCCTCAAGGTCACTGTGGGCAAAGTGCAGAACAAGGGCTTAGGCCAGGCTGGACTTGTCCTAGAAAGGACCTGGACAAGGAGGAGGAAGATTGAGACTGAGGGAAGGGAAAGAATGATTCTGTGGGGGAAACTCTGAAAATATGTACTTCCCTTTCCTGATAAAGTCACAGAGGGCGAGGCACTGAGGAGAGCTACCTTGTTTGTCTGCTCTCACACCCTGACAGGCCTGGGCAGCAGCACCCCCTTATCTCCACCACGTTGGCACATGTGGCTGTGTTCCCTAATCCACCAAACGGGGACTGGGCTGCTCCTTGTGCTCCCTCCACTCTCCTTCTCCCTGTTCTAACAGGAGCATTAATTTTTAATAACTTTGGATACAATTTCAGCTCCAGCTGGAAAACTTTCATGCTTTGCTTAAGCCTTTAGCAGTGTAAGGGGAAAGACGTTGTCTCTGTCAAGGTACAGAGAGAGTGAAATGCCTCCCGTGTGACAAAGATGGTGCTTCAGCAGCATTCCCATGGGCTGGGTCCATGGAGTGTGGCTCTTCCGTTCACTGCAGCAGCTCGGGGTGCAGGTTTTACACCTGCCTCTGCCGTGTTTACACCCCTGTTTGTTACTTAAGTTATATAAGTGGCAGCAGCCTCTTGATGTGTGTGTACACAGAGGAATTAAATTAATTTGCAGAGCTGCCTGCTGGGAACCTCCAAAGGGACAACAGGCCCTTTTGCACACCCACGAGCAGCACAGAGAACTGAGCTGTGGGAAACAAGGAATTGGGTCTTTTTGAACCCACTGGGTCTCTATAGCATTGAAGCTGTTGAAGTTGTGCAGGGGGACAGCTGAGAGCTTTGTCTCTCTCACCTACAATTAACTTTTTTTTTTGTTAACTCACCTACGATTAATGTAGTTTTAGTGGGTTTTGAGTGATGACTGCATGCCATGGCCACGTCGTGAGGGTTTTATTTGGCATTTCACGTTCCTTACCCAAAATGGATTTAACTCCCAGCACTCCCATGGATTTCCACAGAAATCTATCAAGCACTTCCACAGAAACCTCTCCTGCCAGCCCTCTCACGAGCTGGCTCCGTCCCTAAACCAACAGGGCGAGTCACCCTTTCAAACCCACATTTTTGCGGGGCGTGACTCCCATCGCTGTCCCCGGGCACCCGGAACGCGCGAGCGGCCGGAGCACTCCCTGCGAGTTATTCGGGGCACGCGAGACACGCGGAGGGCGTGGAGGGGCAGTATCTGGGTTAGGCACAGGGGCCGACAACGTTAATTGGGATAACTGCGGGTAAAAGGCGGCTCGAGACGCGGGCCCGCGGGGGTCGCCGCGAGGGGATGGCTGTGAGGGGGCCGCGACGAGGGGTCGCTGTGAGGGGGTCGCGGGGGCCGCCGGGAGCCGCCCGCTGTTATTGTCCCGCAACATGCAAATGAGGCGGCGCGGACAGCCAATGACAGGGTGCCCTTCGGGGCCGGCCGCGCACGCGCGCCGGGGGGCGGAGCCGACCCCGCGCCCCGCCCAGTGCCGGGCCCTCAGCTCAGCACGCGCGGCGAAGATGGCGGCGGCGGCGGCCGGCGGGGCGCGGGGGCGGCGCGGGCGACTCTGACCGGGCACGCACCGGGAGGGACGGAAGGGGCGAGCCCGGAGAGAGCCCGCAGAGCTCCGCGGGCAGCGGGGAGGAGCGGGACCCCCCTCGGGGGGGGGGAAAGTGGCGGCGGCGCGGAAGAGCGGGGGCGCTGCCGGCGAGCCCGGCCGTGAGGGGCCGGCGCGCGGGGCGTGAGGGGCAGCGAGGGCCGCACCGCGGGGGACGCGGTCCGCGGTGGGCGCGGCTCGGGGCGGCACCGGCGCGGTCCGGCGGGCAGGGGGAGGAAGGCTGGCGCCCTGCGGCGGGCGCTCGGCGGGCAGGAGGCGGCTGCGCCGGTGGCTCCCCGCGTTCCTGGCGCTCGGCTGCTGGGCGCCCCACGCCATGTTCTCGGTGCTCTCCTACGGCAGGCTGGTGGCGCGGGCGGTCCTAGGCGGCCTCTCGCAGACCGACTCCCGCGACTACAGCCTGGTCACGGCCAGCTGCGGCTTCGGCAAAGATTTCCGCAAGGGCATCCTCAAGAAAGGCATGTGCTACGGGGATGACGCCTGCTTCGTGGCCAGGCACCGCACCGCCGATGTGCTGGGTGAGTGCCCGCGCCGGGGGGCTCAGGTGGCTTTGACTTCCCTCTCTCTCCCTCCCTCTCTCTCCCTCCCTCCCTCTCTCTCCCTCTCCCTCCCTGCTCCGCACATGGCGAGCGGCTCAGCCTCTGCTCGCAGACAAAGGAGCTGGTTCTGCTAGGCAGTGTCAGCGTGAGTTCGCTTTTTTAGCTTCCCGAGGAAGCTCTCTGCTGCAGCTCAACCTGCCTTTGGCTTGCGGGGCTGTGTGTGCCGGGTGTGCGGGCCCAGCCTGGCCGTTTCACCTGTGGGTGCCTGTAAGGCCCAACGGCTCCGAAAGTCACAGAAACAGCTCCTGATGCGTTTCACTTTCTGTCTGCCTTTAAAACCTGACCGAGTCCTGCGGATATTCACTGCAGTTTCGCAGAAAAGATCACTGGAACAGACACTTCCTGATTTTAGCGTGTGCTATGTCCTTGTCAGGTGAAAGGCAAAGTGACATTGAGACTGGAATCAAATGTCAAACTTCAGTTTCGGTGTTTGCTCTGGCCTGATTGCGCTCTCTGCTTTGGATTCACGGCTGAAATCAATCGTAAGGCTTCAAATTATAGATAACCAATGGAATCTTCAGTCCATGGGCAGCATTGCTTTTGACAGTGCTTGACCTTTCTCCTGTGTGCTCAAGGTTGAATTTGGCTGACTGATCTTCTGCACAAGTTACTTGTGCTGTAACTGCCAGAAGCAAATTGTCACTAAAACTTTGACACTTAAAAAAAAAGCTTCCTCCCCCCTGCCTCTGTTTTTTATTTATTTCTTTAAAACCGGGGCTACACTGTGGTATCTCACGATGTGGGAGTGCTTGGTGATTCCTGTCGTTGTAACTTGGTTGCTATTTAATAGAGCCGAGATATTTTCTGCAGGAAGCTGTAACTTGGTGCTGGGTAACAGTATTGCTGGTTATTCCCAAAGGAACTGTTACTGTCAGAGTGATGCCACAGCTTCCAGGGAGATGTGCAGAACTGGGCAGTGCATTTTAGACACTGCATCTTCTCTGTTGTGCCTGTTCCAGAGAAACTTTTTTTTTAATTAGAATTAGCTGCTGGACACCCTTCCTTTAACATGTGACCAACCCTGGCTGCCTTTAAAGTTCATGTTAGGCCAGCACTGATAAATAACTGAGCAATTGGTATTTGCCCTTAAGAGCAATGCAGAATATCCTTCTACTTCAAGGTGGGCTCTTGGTGTCGGGAAAAGATAGATTTAGCCCCATTTGATGATGTTTGGGGTTTTTTGGCCATATTTGGTAATTACTACAGCTTGTGAACCTACAGCTTGTCTTGTCTTCCTGCTGGAATCAACAGAGAGTTGCAGTTCTGAGTTGGGTCTTTGCATTAATTTTCATGGCAACTTGGAAACAAACAGAATTGTAGCTCCACTTAAGGATCAAACAACAAAGAGGACAGCACACCAGGATGTTTGAAGTCCCAAGAAGAAAATAATTTAAATAGCAAAACTGTTGATTTGGGGGTTTGTTTTGGTTTGTTTTTTTTCCCCTTGTACGGCTATTTTCATGTTAGTTCTTTATTACTTTTTTAATGCACATACCAAAAAACCCAGATCTCTGTACATTCTGCAAAACCAGCAATGCTCAGGTGGGCTCTGACACCTCTAATTTGATGCTTTCTCTTCATCTGTAGTTCTCAAGTTTACAAGCAGCAGTTTTCTCCTTGTTTCTGCTGCTGTGATCATCTCTTTACTCTCCCTTTCTCAGCCAGCTCTTTTGCACTGTTGCAGGGAGAGTTTCAGCACCAGAAGTGTTTTCTGCCCTCAATTCCTCTTACTCTCATCACAAATCGAAGGTTCCTTAAAGATTTTCTTAAAGACTCTCATAAATTTCATACTAATTCAATACCTGCCAACTCTGCACCTCAACAAAACTGGCTGAGCTGAACTGTTGGGTTTCCTACTTAATTTTTTGGCATTTAAGGAAGGGGCTCACGTGGTTTGAGCCAAAGTGAACACTTGACACAGTAAGTGCTTTTGGAGAACAGTAAATTTCCAGTGTATCACTTGGAGTTAGTAGTCACCAGTGACAAAGCCATGGCAGATAATTTATTTGAAATTCTTCTGTGCCAGTGTTTTCTAGAACCAGTGTGTGGAGGGCTGGCCTGTGTGGGATGGATCTGGGTGTGGTGGAGCAGTGAAAGAGCTACTCCCAGTCCTTTGGCACGAGTGCTTGGGGATTCATTTTCTTGGGTCAAACAAAAGTTGACTTGGCAGTGTGTTTATAGCAGAATCAAAATGCTAAACACTCCTTTTGTTGTAGCTGTGCTGTAGAGTCTAAAGGCTGAACATTAACAGTGTCTTGTAGGCTGAGCTTTATCCTTTCACAGGAAGATCAGCAGAAAGCTTAAAGATTCAGGTTATTTCCATCCCTCTGTAGTTGTTAAATGCTTGGTAAGGCCCGTTACTGGTGCACTTGAATTCTTTGAGGGGTTTATCTCTCATTTTTATTTTTGTCTGGGACGTACCTGTCAAATTTGCACGTTTTCTTCCCGTTCTGAGCCCAGGGAGAAACAAGAAGCTCAGAACCAGTGTTTCCTTGGGGATCCCCCTGAGAAAAGGAAATGGCTTTACTGCTGATGTTATCTCCAGAGCTTTATGATTCAGGCCTATGTTTCCCTTCTGCTGCTGCTCGTACCATGTTGTACCTTTTTGTACATTCATTATCAGTGTCTTGGGTGTTCAGATCCTCAGAATATTCAGATATCTCATGGAGATGTGGGAGCTGTTCTGTGCTGCTTCATGTCTGAAGCCTTTGGAACTTTTGAGGACAGAAATACTGTTTTTCCAAGCTGAAAACCAAAACTCTTCAGGAGCTGACAGCTCTGGTTTTCCCCATTGGCGTGAGAGTAGAATTTTTAGTACACAGGGGACAACCCAAAATTTTAAAGTGGACTTGAACAGTTCTATAACCATTTCACTTATTTACCCAGAGTAAACATTAAAGCTTTTTTAGGAATTTTGAGCTGTCTCGTGCTGCTGATTGGTTTTTTTCCTTATTGTTGGGCTTTGCCTTCTCTTGCTTATTCCTGCCTTATCAGGCTCCCGATGTCTTTGCTAGTTTTTTATGGATTTTCCAAGCTGTTGTGTGACTCATTATTGAAACATTGCTGCAGCCAATGCTGCATCCCGTGACAGCATCACTTATACAATGTCTGTGCTGGGGACAAGTCTGGGTGTAGCCAGTGAGACTTCACTCGTCTTCCAAACTATTTCTGTCCCTCAGGAGTAGGAAAAAACTGTCTGGCAGCAGAGAACTGTTTGTCCACTGCAGATTTAAAATTGGACAACTGTTCTATCTGCTGCAAATCTTGATTTTGAATTCTTTTTGGGGGGAGTGGGTGGGTGCTGCAGGGCAGCTACTCTAAACTGAAAGGAAATGCACTTCATTTGAAAATTCAGTTTGTCAGCAGCCTTTGTAAGAGCTGAAACTCCAGAGTGGCAAAGCCCCTGGAATATTGTTAGTCTCACTGTCATCAAGGAAAGTAAACTACAACAGTAAAAGGATTTGTAGGTGAAATGTCAAGGTTGTTCTGGCAGCTGTAGAGGAGGAAGGGATTCCTGCTTGGATGCCTGAAGGTTACAGAGGACTATGTTAAGTGGTTTATTTGGTATCATACCTATTAAAGACATTGCTGCCTTATCACAACTTATCACACTAAAGGAGGCAAATTGTCTGCCTCCCTCAGAGCAGCCTTTCACCTACTGCAGTGGGAGAGCTCAGGGCACCTCAGAGGGAGTGATCAGTGATTTGCAAACAGTTGTGGTGTCTTAATTTGTAACAGACCACGTGGAATTTTCTGTGTAACATGGGAACGTAAGTGTAAGGAAACTACAGATTGAGAAACATCCCATTATCAGTCACATTCTTGTCAGTGCAATCCACATGTCAGCAGACCTGTTCCTGAGTGGCACCGAGTGGAACCTCTGAGAATGAAACTTCAGTCTGCTTATTCTTTAACCCCACAGTATCTGCAGGGATGTTGCACACAACGTTTCTGATCAGAATTTCCAGTTGAACACTTATTTTAACTGTAAATGCTGTTGGTGCTTGTCGATAGCAGAAAATTTTCTATTCTTATGTGGGTCTTGGCTTGAAGGAAAAGCAGGCTGTCTCGGAAATCAGGGATTTAACTGAGCACAGTGCAGGAGGTGAGGATTAGTCATACCTGTGTCGCAGGAAACGTTGCAGAAATCTCCTGCTGTTTGCTCTGGTTCATCCTCACTGTGCTGTGAGCCTGAGATTGTTCAGCCTGGCAGGGATTTCAGTGTCTGCCCCCCCTTCTCATCAGTTCCATTCTTGCTGAACACCTTGAGATTAAATAGTTATAACTAGGGAATTTTTTACAAAAAATAATTTAGTGTTCTCCTGGAGCTCCCCAAATCCACCGAGTGATTCCTTAGGCTTAAATAAAATAGGGAAGAGATCTACCTGGTGGAAACCTGTTTCAGGAACAAGTGGATGGTAGCAGGGTGGAAATAGATAAAAGGAACTGTTGCTTTTTCCCAGGAGTAGATACACAGTTTAATGATTGCAGTTCCCTGTTTCTCCTTCAGTTTGTTTTTCAACAACCTCACTCACTTTGCCTCCTGCTTTTTGTTCCTTGTTGTCACTCACCCAGTTACTCTCTCAAAACCTTTCTGTGTCATGCAAGGGTAGTTTAAGGTTTACTGTAACAGTGTGAATAAGTAACCTTTCCTTTTGTAACTCATTAGCAGTCACACACAACCTGCCTTTAGGGATTTGTATTTAACTGAGTTATTTCTTTCTCAAAACCTGAGGGGAGTGTGGACAGACACCCTTTGGCTCTGAGAGATCCCAGGGGAGCTGCTGGAGGGTCACTGCTGGCTTGGAGCATTGGACGTGCTCTGGATGGAGAACCTGTCTAGGTGTGTGATTTATGTCACCACTGATAAAACAGGAAATCTTATCAGTTTATCTCAGTTCTGATATGTTGACAAATATTAGGCGCTGTATTTCGAACTTGTGTGGTGCAGCAGATTGCCCATTTTTTACCATTTTAGCCTTCTGTTTTTGATGCAGAATTAATTCAGCCATAAATATATCCTTTTGGTGTTCTTTTGTCAGTGATTCATTGCTATTTCAGGTGAGGATCTCAAAAAATGGAAAGTTCAGTAGGATGTGTGGAGTGTCTTACCAAGTTAATTGTGGTTGCATGCACGAGCAGTTCCTGCTGACACACTTGTGCCTGCCTGGGGCTTCTGTGTGAGTTTTATTCTTGGCTGATGCAATGGCTGAAAGTATCCATCTTCCAAGAGATTTTTGGGAACAGGGTGGTACTTTTGGACTCTGACCACGTTTGCCAGCAAGCCAGAACTTCCCCTCATAACACTATTTATATTAAACAGGATTTGATCAGTATGGTGGGTTTGTTATGAACTTTCAGCCTGTTTAGTTTATATTTGTATGTAGTTTATATTTCTGAACTAGGCAGAACACCTGGATCTCACAAAAGTATGTGGTGAAAAGCAAATATTGCTGCTTTCAACACTGGCTGGGTATTCCTGGGCTCCTGCAGTGAACCTCGTGTGTGCTGGCAGGAAAAACAACTTCCCATTTGCATTTCAGCTGGTATCTTATCCCAGGTGCTTTCAGCATTTGGAAATCAGCTTTCCCAAGTTTCCCTGCCAAGATCTTCCCTGGCTTAGTCAGTGCCGCAGCATCAGAGGCTTGGGCTTTGTCTTGTAACTTCGTGACAAGTGTTTCTCTGGGAGAGCTTTTGATACATGGAATCTTTGAGAAGTTGGAAGAAGCTTTGTTTTGGACTGACACATGCAGCAAGTATTTCATCTGGCAGGAATATATGTGTGTTTTCCAGCAGAAGGCAAGGTAGTGGGGTATTAACTCTCAGAGATTCTGAAAGGTCTCCATTGTATAGTTAAATCTTGGAGAAGTATTTATTCTTTTGAAGTAATTTATTGTGAAATTTTCAATTGCTTTATTTACACGGATGGTTCATCTGGCTGCAGGCACTGCTCTGTGTCACGTGGATGTTTGTGTAACTTCTGCCTGGGCTTGAACAGGGAATAGCCACAGGAATGTTCCTTCTATAAAATTTTCTCATTTACTGAATAGCTTGAATGAAAAAACCCCAAGGACTGTGTACAGCTCAGTTTCAGCAGCTCCCCGCCATGCAGTTTGTCTTAAATGTCCTGAGAATTCCTACTTTGTAACATGGTTAATACTGGAAGACAATGGTTTATGGTTCAAATGTAAGAAAAGAAAAATCTGAGTAATCTTTTTCACTTAAAGGTAATTATTTTGAATATTTACCTTTTTTTTTGGTCTTGGATGAAAACAATGATAACAGAAATAAATAGAGCTTGGCATTATTCCTTGGTAATGATCCTGCCAATATCAGTACCTTTGAATTTTCCTTTGGTGACAGAGGGAAAACATGGTATTACATCAAAAGTTGAGTTTTCAGTTCTTGCTATTTCTGGAGTCTGGAATATCTCACTAGTTTTGCTCCTTGTTTGCTGTGAATCAAATACCACAAAGTTTTCTTAAACTTTATTCTCCTTTACATTTCCTCTATTTCAGCAGCAGTTTACTCAGTCTGATTCAAAATCATATATTCCTTTCCCATGAAACTGTTTAGTTTATAGAGAATATTGAATGTAAAGATGCTGTTTTTATTTTAAAAACATGCTGAAGGCTGGCAGGACAGGATGGCTGGAGATCTTGGGGACTGTAAAAACCTTCCTCTAAGGCAAAAAGCAGTAAAGGAGGATGTTTTCTAGAGGTCCCTGTGTGGTGTGGGGCTTCTTGGCTGGACTTGGCCTCTGTTCTGCCACTGGGCTTGGTGGCATCAGCAATTCCTGGCTCAGGGCTGGAGCAGGAGGAAGCATTTGACTGCTCTGGTGGTGTTGGATGCTTGGGGAGCCAACAAGGTCATTTAGCTTACATCAAATGTAGTGACCTATTATCTTTAAGGGATACAGTTCAAAAAAAAAAAAAGGTAGGAAAAAAAGGCCTTTGGGGAAAGACCAAAATTGGTGCCACGTGAGTTGCTGAGCAGATGAGGTGTGATGGTGGTGTCCCAGTGAAAGCAGCCTCCAGGGGCTGCTCCTGAATGTGATGGTCCCGTTGACTTCTGTGCTGGGATGGAGCAGGGATCCAGCTGTCCTGGGGATTGGGAAGCAGACAGTCTGTTCTAAAGGCAGAGGAGCTGCCCGGGGATGTCTAGAGGGTGATTGCTTTGGAAGGCACTGGCAGAACGTGCTCAAAGCTGTTCATAGCTTGCAGAAAGCAGACAGGAAGGCAAAGACAAAGCCAGTTCATGGCCCAAGACAGAGGATGGAATGTGCTGTCATGAGCATGGATTTGCATTTCCTGCCTGGAGTGAGAAGTGAGCAAAGAAAATCAGGTGGCACACTCTTATTTTTCCTCTGAAAATGGAATAGGTTTTGATAACTCCCTTCTCAGGTGCTTGCTGTGGTGGCTCTCTGGTCTCAGAGAGCTGTAGTGTTTCTGTTCCCGTGTTTCCCAACACTAATGTAAGGTGTTTATGGATTGCTTGAGAGAACTCCATAACTTCTGCCCAGCTTTCTCTGGAACTGCCTTGGGAGCCAAGAGCTTTGGGCACTTGTCAAACAGCATCTTCTCCTTGCGTTCCCCTGCTGTCAGTGAAGCAGTGCAGAGTGAAGCAGGCACAGTCTGGATTGCGTCCATCTTAAAGGGAAGTTAAAAAAAACAAACTTCTCTGGTAACTTCACGTAAAGCACCATCATCCAACCTGGAGTTTCTGTTTCAAGTTCTAGGTCTAGAACTTTTCCTTTGTGATCTCTTATTCTAGACCTGTCCGTGTGGCAGCCAGAAGCAAAGGGTCAATCCAGTATTAACCTGAGGTTGTGAGACCTGTAGGGAGGGGATTAATCTGTTCTTGAAGACTCCAGAAAAGGTGTTTTCGAGAATGCTGGGGTCCTACAGAGCTTCTTCCCAGGATCTGGTCCCAAGGGGTGAATGAATGCAGGGATCCGCATCCCTGTAATATTCTTCTGCGAAAGCAAAAGGACAAAGCAGGTGTCTAAAAGGTTGTGCACTATTTTAGGGAGAAATCTGATTAATGTTGATGGGCTGTTCAGAATCCTGGCAGATTATAGTTCACACCAAGGTCGGCTCCAACCCTTCCGTCTCAGTTTCAGCCCGTGTCCCATCTGAAGGGCGATGGGAGATGAGGAAACTGAGTTTTAGCTTCTCACTCACATTTTCATGCCTTTGCTTGCAGTGTGTTGTTTTTTTCCTGAGGAGACTGTCCTTCAGCACAATCTGAGCTCTGAAATTCCCCCTTTGTGCTTTTATCATGAACACATTTTAGCTTTATTACAAGCTGGGCTTGAAAGGGTTCGTCCCGTGCTGAGGATCAAAAAGATTTTTGGAAAGATTTTTACATAGTAACATTTTAATCTCAAATAATGCCTTCAGCAGTATTTTACTTTAATCATTTGGGGGAAATTCAAAGTTCTAGCTGAATGACCTGCAGAATATGATGTCTGCTGCTCACCTCCCTCTGAACACCCCCTTTCCATGAGCACCTTCCCTGTTTTCCTCTGCAGCTGCTCAGAAGTTTCCAAAGCTTTGGCAAAATTGCTCAAATTTTCTGATCCAAGTTTTTTAGAATAACTAAATGCAAATTGACTGGATTGTAGTTAGTTTTCATTCTCCTGCTTGGCTGAAGCCGTAAGCAACAAATTCTCCTTGGAAGGGGTAGGTCCCAGCATTGTGTTGGTTACATGGATTTTGGGATACATGGAAATTGAGATTACCAAATAGAAAGTATTGTTTTTCATATGAGCATTGAGAAAAAACTGGGCTGCTGGGGAGTGGGGAAGAGTTTCTTTATCATTTCTGTACTAGTTAAAATCTTAACAACCATCACATTTAATTTTTCCTTTCTAATGAGCTAATCAAAGGTTAATGGGATTGAATTCCCATCTTCCCCCCCAAATTCCCTATTTCTCTAGTGGAGTCAGCCTCCTCATCCTCAGCATTAGACTTTTGCCTTTTTTCCAGCACTTCAGATGATATTTAGGGTTTGTCTGGGAGGTGATGTCAGCAGTTATCTCACAAATACTTACAAATTTCGTTGCTAATCCAAACTGTTTTTCAGGCAGGTGCCGAGTCCTACCTTTTAGTTACTAAATATCCTAAGTGACGTAAATAATTAAACCCCTTGTTTTGGAAAGCATTGCTGTTCATGTAACACTCCTCTTCTCTTCTCTTCCAGGGGTGGCAGATGGTGTCGGTGGCTGGAGAGACTACGGGGTTGACCCCTCTCAGTTCTCAGGGACTCTCATGCGAACGTGTGAACGTTTAGTGAAAGAAGGACGGTTCGTTCCCAGCAATCCTGTCGGGATTCTCACTGCAGGCTATTGTGAGCTGCTGCAGAACAAAGTACCTCTGCTTGGTAAGACACCAGGAATCTGTCAGTTCGATCTGGGTTGTGTGTTACCTACACACAGACTTAGTGAGAGTTGCTTGAAATCTGTTGGCAGCTTCTGCAACAAATCTACAGGCAGTCAACTTCTCTTATTTCTGTGTTTTCAGTTAATTTGGAGGCATCCTTATTTCTCTTGTGTGTTTAAAAGCTGTTTTAATTAATTTAGTAATGCAGGGAGTATTTGTGTGTGTGTATATATATATAAAATGAAAGGCCAGCTGCCTTTCTGTGTGAAGGGTGAATTCACCAGAGTTTGCAGAGCGAGTTCTGCAGCAGAACACGCTGTGGCACATGTGCTCACCCTGTGTTTTGGAGGTATAAATAACTGTTCTCTGCTGAAAACTCTTCATGGTTGGTTGTGGCTTTTTGCTTAAGCTCTGCAAGGAAAAATATTTTCTGAGAATAACTGGATGCAGTTCTGCTCATTCCTGGCCTTACTGCTCCTGTTGCCTTTTATGTCTAGTGAACTCAAACCCCAGTTGGCTGATCTCAGTAGTTTATATCATCTGATCTCTGGGAGTATTATTTTTATAAATCTTTGTGGGGGATTCATTACAGATCTTTCTGAAAGCCATCTGAAGTAGATGCTTCACATATTCTATGTCAGACTTGATGTGAGACAGGGCATTCAGCTGCCTGGGGAATGGGAGCAGATAGAGAGGTGCCATTTGGCCTGAGCTGACAACCGTGCAAAGGGGACACTTTCTAAAGGACATGAGCCCTCCTGTGCACCAAGAAAGTGTTGCCCTGTGTGATATGTGCAGGGCTCACCTGACCTTAAGCTCCTGTGCCAGAGGAGTGCAGGGTGAGCTATATTTAACTTGTCTGCTGAGCTGGGAGCAGATGTTCTCGCATTATACGCCTAAAGAATAGGTTGGAACCTCAGCAGTGACCTTAAGTGTCACCAAAATAGCAGAGCTCAGTAATTACATTAGGATTTGGGGTGGTTAATGGTGCTTATTTCTGCAAAGCAGATGTAGCTGTAAGTGATCTCCAAAGTGGGCCACTGGAGAGAGCTTCCCCACGGCTTTGGAGACGGAGGCAGCTCAGCTGGGCTTGACCTTTGCAGGGCTGAAAAGCAGCGTGTGCTGAGTCACAAGATCTGCATTCCACACATGGCCTCCTGGTTACACTCTGCTAATAGAGTTAGAATTTGAAACTAATGATCCTTAGTGTTTCTCCTTTAACAGAGAACAGTATTTTTAGAAGGAGGAATAAAACCCTGGAATTACCACAGCAATGAGCATTTAGAGTTTATTTAAAATAAAGGGAAGGGAGAGAACTTCATTAAGGAGGATTCATTAGGCAGTAACTTTTCCTTGCTGTTGTGCTCTGAGCCTGGATACTTGCTTCATCAGAACTGAATCCAGCAAATATTATAAAATAAAACCGAAATGGGAGGAAACTGTGCCAATTATTTAAACACTGTTGTGTTGCAGAACAGTCTTGGACACTGTCACATCTAAAATCAGAGCTTTTCGTGTAGTACTGTTTTGTAAGAGTGGAGAAGGTCCTGTGTGTTCACTAGAGAACAAATTCAGGGCAAGTGCATTGCAGGGAACTCTGTTAGAAAGGGAAATGTGTGGAACAGGCAATGCCTGGAGCCAGCTGCACTTGTGCACTAGCAAGGCTCATCCTGAGCTTAGCTCCTTGCAAGCCTGTGGTCTGTCCAACATGTAGCCGTGCTTGGAAAATCCTGCTGGAGGAACACAGGATAGAAGATGAAGACTTGTGATATGGGACAGAAGTCAAGAAGAAAGGCTTTAGCTGTATCTCACTCTTGAGGAAGGAAATGTCTGCTGTGGATGTGCTGTCCTGTCCTGTCTGCAGGAATGGAGCAGTTGCTGGTTGCTCTGAAGGACTCTGTGGATGTGTTTCTTTGCAACACAGTTGTTTTTGTGGCTTGCAACCAAGCACAGTTGGTGGCCATTTCCCAGTGAATGAACCAAGAATTCCTCGGTGCCCTCAAGCATAGCTGGGATAGTTCTGAGCATGGTTGACATGTTCCTGTTGTTACTTTAATCTGGAATAGTGTTTGTCTCTGAAACATGTTTTCTTTACACTTTGGAAGTTGGTCTCCTGAGGATGTGAAGCAGGCTCTGCACAGCCAGGCTGGGAAGAGCAGCATTTTCATGTTCTGAGCAGAGAAGTGCAATAGGACCTAACACTTAATTGCAAACATTCTTTACTTAGTGGGGTTTATTTACAGCTGATGAGTGAAACTGTGTGGAGAGCACCTGGCATTGCATGGATGCTGCTGGAATTCTATTATGTCCATGATTTCGGAATTTCAGTATTTTATGTGAGTTCTGTAAATCCAGTCCTATAGCAGAATGTGCTGACATATGTTGGGTTGGAAAACTGTAAATAAGCCAAACAAAACAGGTATTTGTCAGCATAATGTGTTTACCAAAATCAGAGCAGGAAAAGTGAGTCCTACACAAAAATCAGACATGGCGTTGCAAAGATTTCTAGCGCTTTGCTGTCTTTATTTTGTATTAGTTGTGGCATTATTGAGCATTTCCATTTCTCCTGATTATTAAACTTTGATAAGTGTTTGAATAATTGAACTGTTGATGAAATCAGTGGGAGAAGCAGCAGTTTGTGTGAGGCTGACTGCAGTCGCTGTGTTTGCAGGGAGCAGCACAGCTTGTATCGTGGTTCTGGACAGGACAAGTCACCGTTTACACACAGCCAACCTGGGGGACTCCGGGTTTTTGGTGGTCAGAGGAGGAGAAGTTGTCCATCGCTCTGATGAACAGCAGCATTACTTCAACACTCCCTTCCAACTCTCAATAGCTCCTCCAGAAGCAGAAGGAGTTGTCTTAAGTGACAGGTAAGGTGGGGAAGGAACTGAATGTTTAATCTGTGCGTGTGAGCGGCTTCCAGGAAGTTGCAGTTTTGCTGGGGGGGCTCTTCCTGGCCTGTAGGATTTCAGCTCGTATCCAGTCAGGTCCACACCTGATAATGTGAACATTTATCACCTTGTACTTAACTTTGTACCTGCTGCAGAGCACGAGTTTATTGGGCTAATGGTTATTCATGCTGGCCTATTCCCATGGTCCTGATCCATGGGGAGATGTCAGTGGCTAAAGCTGGTGTGTGTGCTGGTCATCCTGGACAAGTGGCTGCTCTTACCAGTTCCAATCCCTGTCTGTGCTCCCTCGAGACTGTTTGGAGTAGCTAATTTAGATATCTTGGCACTGAGGTAGCAAGTGCTTGAAGAATAGAGTAGAGGGACATGTGACTGTAAGTTGTGTTTCCAAGTAGCTGTTTCCCTCAGCATATTGTATTTGACCAAAACGAGCAAAAAAACTGCTTGGCAGAACACCAGGCTGGGAATGAGAGGATGAGGAGAGGACAATCTGTTCACAGAAATGAGTCCTTTCAAAGGCTGGCTTGTTCCTATGTCTTCCCCTAAGAATGTCAGGCTGATCCACCCTGGCTTTGTGAACCCTCATCAGTAATATGAAATAAATTTTTTAAAAATCAGCTTTCAAATTGTGTTAAAATAGAATCAATTAGGTCGGAAAAGACCTCTGAGATCATTGAGTCCAAGTATATACAGTTCTCAGAAATGGTTATTCACTCATTGAAGTGATCTCTGTCATCTGAATATAGGGAGATTGCAACAGGATCTTCAGACAGTGGCCATGGCATCCAGCTCAAGTCTTTGATGCAAGGTTCGGACTCGGTGATCTTAAGACTCTTTTCCAGCCTAAGTGATTCTCTGAAGTCTCAAGGCTGAGGCAGTGAAGGTTATGACTTCAGTGCCAAAATAGCTCTTTTTGAAAGTGTTGTTAAAAGTTGTTGAAACTCCTGACCGTTCCTGCCTGTGGCTTTATTTCCTCATCTTACAACTGCCGAGAGGAAACCAGGGTAGAACTCTGAAATTAAACCCCTCAATAATCCAGCCTCTTTGTCAGACTAAAATTAAATGACATTTGAAATTCCAGAGCTGTAAAAGTCTTCATTTTTCTGAGATTCTCTGTCATCCATAGGAAGACCATAAAACCCAAAAAGCAGAAGGATAATTGGTCATGTCCAGTGGAAGTCAGGGAAGCCAAGTAATCTGAGTCATCCCATAATAAGGAAAAGCACAAGATAAATGTGCTCCCACACTTGAGCTGTGAATCATGATTACAGCGTTCTGGCTGGTTCCTGTGCTGTTCCTGACGTTAATTAGTACTTATGGGCCTCACCGAAACGCTTCTCCAGTCCCTTTTTTATTTGTTGTCCCAGTTCAGTGGGGAATTTGGCTAAATATGGGCACAGGCAGGCAAGCTCAGCTCCATCAACCTTCCCGAGGCTGCAGATCAGTGGAGCAAAGCTTCTCTGTGTTTTGGCAGAGAGGCAGCAGTTTCTCCTTTTAAAGACCCCTGAAGAGTCTTTAAAAATGAAAGTTTTGTTTTTATGTTGCCTCAGAGAATCAGATTTTGCAGCAATATTCATGGCCAAATGGGGTGTTTTCTCCTCTTGCTGTTGTCTAATGTCTTAGACACAAGTATTCCAACTGGCTGAGGTCTCCTGGTAGACATATTTCTTATTCCACTGAATTAGAAAGTGATTCAAAATCCTGAATTGTTTGGGCCATTATGAATTGTCCTTTCAGGTATTGCTCTCTTACATGTTTAAGATGAGCAGGAGGAAGCCCTGAGCTGCCCTTCTGCTTACTGGTTTCCATGGAGATGCACTCATGAAGCAGATTAATTTGCAGGATTGTTCATCTGGGAATTGTAACTGCAAATCCTTGGTGGAGTAGCTGGAGTTTTACCTGTCTGCAGTCCCAGTGCTGTGCTGGAGCTCCCTGGCCAGGCCGGGCTGGTGCAGAAGCTCCACAGTCAGTGATTCTTCCTTTCTTTTGCAAAAAGCCCCAAACTGTAGTGACGTGCAGGAGCTGTGGCTGTGCTGTTGGACGTTCCCTGGGGGGTGTGAGGGGTCCTTTTTAACCTCTCTGTCCCCTCCCTGTCCCCCCCCAGCCCCGAGGCTGCCGACAGCACGTCCTTCGATGTGCAGCTCGGGGACATCATCCTGACGGCCACAGACGGGCTGTTCGACAACATGCCCGACTACATGATCCTGCAGGAGTTAAAGAAGCTGAAGGTGGGTGTGTGATTCCTCAATCCCTCACATCTTTTGTGCTGCTAAACCTGAATCCTTTAAAGGCTTTTCACATAATCCCCCATGTGAGCAGTGGGAAGGGATGCTGACCCCAAAGCTCTGTCTCTTGGATCTGCATCCAGAGGCAGCAGCTGGGGCATAAATTTCCCAAGTGGCAGCTGGTTCCATGGCAATAACTGGGAAGGGAAGGGGGAAATGTTCAGTCCAGGCTCTGCCCTTGGCCAGCTCGTCACACACGGCACCTGCAGCTTGTAGATGCTACACATGAAAATAGAGCATCTCCTCCCAGGTTGTTTGGGGGCTGAGCTCACACTTCAAATAATTTCCAGCTTTTTTGAAGGGTTGTAAATCATGAATTCTAATGGAGTGTGTGCTGTCTGAACTGTGGGTTGCACGTGCTTGAAAATCTTTAATGTTCTGTTAAAAAAAAAAATCCTGGCAACTTTCCCAGGTTAGTGACCACAAATGTTCTTTTTAAATAGTAAAAATGCATTAAAATATTTTAATTTGGGTGAGAACATTTAGCTTAAGGCTATTTACTTACAGAAAGGAAAGTATACTTAAGGAGATATCAATATGTATAACCTCCCTCAGGAAACTACTTTGCTGTGAAATGCAAATAAGAGTGACATAGAGAATTACAGTGTGGTTTTCAGAGAATTTGGCCTGTTCTTATCCTGCAGCTACACAAGTCACTACCCCGTGTGGCTGCAGCCACCTCACAGCCCTGTCTGTGGGCAGAGAAGGGTTGTCCTGGGCGGACCCTGGAGCTGGAATTCCCTTGTGGAAGAAGGCTGAGCTCCACCTTTTGGCGTGTTTGGGAAAGGCACCGGAGTTCCCCGAGGGGTTCAGCCAAAAGTTAATCACATAAACGCCTGCTAATTCCCAAACCTGCGGGGAAGGCTCCTGCAATGACAGGGCACTTCAGAACGGTTACAGACTAAGAGAGCAGTGCTTGTCTGTCATGTTGGCCTGAGCGAGACAAGCCTTGCAGTGAAGCAGCAGAGTTATTGAAACTGAATTAAAACCAGGCCCTTAAAATGCAGCCTGGAGAAAGTTTGTGCTTTTTTTGTCATCTGACTTTTAAAGTGCCCCTTCTCCCCAAGTGTGCTCTTGTTGATTGGGGTAAGAGGGTCAGGGGTGCAGGAATTGCACCTGAGGTAAAGCATAAACACTTCACCAAAACACGAGTGGGAGTTTGCAGGTGAAGTGCAGGGACAGCTCCAAATGTCCCCTTTCCTTCAGCTGAGTCTGGTTTGAGTATTAGTTTTCTAAGTTTGTAAATTCTGTAAACCCTCCAAACCCAAGTCTTGTAGCTGCTGGTGGGGGGTTGAGGCCCGGCCTTGGCTCGTGAAGCTGCACAGTTGTGGGGAGGGCTCTCTTTGCAAGGGAGGCTGATAATTAGTGCCCTGGCACTGAGTGACCTCCAAAACGGACAGGCAGCAGCAAACCAACTCCTGGAGACTTCCTCATAAAAAATAAACCCTTTTCCTGCTGAATTCAGAACTCCAACTACGAGAGCATCCAGCAGACTGCCCGGAGCATCGCGGAGCAGGCGCACGAGCTGGCCTACGACCCCACGTACATGTCGCCCTTCGCGCAGTTCGCCTGCGACAACGGACTGAACGTGAGAGGTGAGAGCGGCCTCCTCCCACCCTGCCATCCCCCAGGAACCTTCAGCAGAGGGAAGTTCTGTTGTCTCAAAATACAGTGGGAGAACAGAACGTTAGGAAACGTGGTTGGCAGGAGAGCACCAGGCTCGTGTGGGATTTGGAGTAGGAGCCTCCCGTGGGGAAGCAGCTGGAGCCCAGGGAACGCAGCGCACTGGTGGTTTTATTTTTAACCCAGTATGTACGTTCCTGCCCCAGGCTCCTGGGGAAACTGTGCTTGATTTGTTCTTGGATTTGGATGTGTGGGTGGTGATGTGTGAGGATGGCTTTTGTTGAATTTTTTTATTTTTTAAAGTCTTCTCTTACAGCTGCATTTCAGCTGAGGTTCTGCCCAATCTTTGATAGTTTTTGGGTTTGTTTTTTGGTTGAAATTTGTGACTCTTGTACCATTGGCATCCCCATCCTGATCTCTCCATTGGTTCTGCTTCTGGGCTCTAAAAGATACTGACACCTGGCAGAGCTCAGAGCCTGAGCAAACACCTTTCTTTTATTGTTTTTTTTTCTTTTAAATAACTCAATATAATTCTGCTGGTAAAGATGTTCTTATCTCTCTATCAAGAGGGCAGGATTTCCTGCCCCTTTCCTAAGGTAGAGCTTGGGCTCCCTGGTGCTCCAGGCTCAGTCACTGAGAAGTGAAACTGCGGATCTCTGGATTCCCTGGTGTGACTTCCCAGTAACAAAATACTTCTCCTGAGCCATTTCTCCAGGATTTGAGTGTTTGCTCTGGATGTTGAGGATTGAAAAGTAGCTACTAAAAATGCTAAGTAGCTTTTAGAAACACATGAGGTAATACAGTGCTGGAGAAGATGCTAAAGTGGTGTTTGATTTACAGTGGAAATTCCTGAGGAGATCTGACTTCATGGCAGTTTCCTTGTAACAGTGCAGTGTCAGGTGTTTTCTGCCTTTATTCAGTAGTCTGCTAGAAAACAGGCTCTGTGCTCTGCCAGCTGCCAGTGTTCAAGGTTCTGACCTCCTTTTCTCAGCCTGATCTCACTGGAGCTGAACAGGAGAGTGTTTTTGTGCCGTGTTAGATGTCACTGCTCCCCTCGTTTGGAAAGGAGATGGAGGAAGCAGAGCTGGTGTCTACACTGAACAGGCTTTGAATATTTGATTTTAAAAGAATTTTCCACGGGAAATGACCCAGATGATGCGAAGACGACGAGTTTGATGAAATAAGTGATGTTTTCCTTCACTGCAGGGGGCAAACCAGATGACATCACCGTCCTTCTGTCCATCGTGGCCGAGTACACAGACTGAGGGCCCGCTGGCCCGCTCCCGGAGCCCCGCACGGTTTCCTGCTGGCAGGATTGATCCCTCCTCCCTCCTGCCCTGGGCAGCTGGCCCCGAGCCCGGCGCCCGTCCTGAGACAGCTGAGTCCTTGCTAAGAACCACTCGTAGAACACTGGTCTTGCTCTGCCAGCAAGAGATGAAGAAGCTCAAGGCCTGGAGCGTCTGTCAGAGCTTAGTCATTGTCCGTGCCAGGGGCAGGATCCATCCCACGGCGTTCCCGCACTGGAGATGGGACTTTCCAAGGAGTAGAATTGGTTGATCATCTTTCAGAGTAGATCAATAGGTAACCCCTCTGCACGAGGGCATCTTACTCTTTCCTAGGAACGTTCGCTGTTGTTGAGGGTGTGTTACAGCCCCAGTTCCATAAAGCATAGTCTTGTTCCAGTGGTAGCCGAGGTTTCGTGTTCCTGAGCTCCAGTTTTCAGGAGATTTATAACTGCTGTAAACATTCTGCTCTTGCCATCCATGGTGTCAGCCTTAGGAACCTTTTCTAGTACGAGATTTCAAACAAACCTAGTTCAAGTTATATGGATGCAAATGTGTTTTGTGATTTCAGGTGCTTAACTGTGATCTTAAAAAAAGTTCTGCAGATCATTCGTCCATAATGGGCCTGGTTCTGGATGTTTTGGCTGTGGATAATTATTATTTTTATTAAACAAGACTTCTAGCTCAGTCTCAAACAGCCGAGCTGGCCACAGCTGAGGTCTTTGAGCATTTGAACCCATCTCCTGGTGGGAAATGCTCCGGTGGGAGGTTGCACAAGGAACAGCTCATCCTCAACTCCCAACGTCCTCACTTTGGGTAGATAATCCTGTCGTTGATGAAGCCTAATTTGTGTTAATAATCGCCATTGCTTGTAGAACAGAATATGCTGCACCACTTTAAGTCCAGCTCATCCTTTCTGACTCAACAGGCACCTCTTTGCTTCTGCTGCGGCAGCGAGTACGAAAATGAAACTTAATGAATAATCAGCAAAACTTACATTTCAGTAACTAAAGTTTAGGGGTTTCAATGAACCTTAATGATGTTTACAGTTATCTAACAGCCACTTTGCAATATGACATTTCGTTTTCAATGACAGTAGCTCACGTTTGTTTCCCCCGCCTTCCAGCCAGCTTTTCCTTTTCCTTTCCTGAGGCTCATACAAAAGCTGAGAGCTGTAAAGATATATATATTTTTGGTCAGTTTTTCATTAACTTTTTTGCCGGTAGAAAAGTATGTAGAAATAAATTAAAGCCATGTTTTTATATATAAAAAGTCGGGTAATGTTGCTGTTTAGGTGAGTGCAGTTAAACTTGGTCAGTAAGGAATCTTTCCTGCTCTCAAGAGGAGATTTTTACTACCTGGTTTATTGTATTAAAACTGTTTAAGTTTGAGGTTACCTCAACTTGTTTAAAGAATTTTTGTGGACTTGTACTGTATATTTGCGTAACTATGTCAAGCTTTTATTTAAGGTCATTTAACATGTACCATGTACATGTCATTTTACTATATTTCAATGCATCATGCTTGTAACAGGCATTTCATTTATAATAAGTGATTAATTTGGGAGCTCTTCAGTAATTTATCTGCTATTCCTCAATTGGCATAATGTTAGGGATCTACTTTGAATCACCTTGTAATTACTTGTCAAAATGCCTTAACTACCCTAACTTGACCAAAATGGGATTTTGGTGAGGGTATGGGGAGGATTCTGTTAATGAAGAGAAATTAATTAGTTTTGTGACACATGAGCAGTGAGTGGTGGAGAACTTTGCACAACCTGTCAGTCCTTGTTTTGAACTGGCCCAGCTGTGCCTGGCTGGCTGTTCGAGGAATGTATTCACTGAGCACAGGGCTTTGTTCCTCGCCTTGGGGGGGCCTTGCCCTCCCAAATCTGGGTGTCTTCACATTTTGTCCGCCAGTATTTCCCCTCAGCTTCTGGATTAGAGCAGATTTGATCAATTCTTGTGTCCCCTGACCTTCCCTTCAGGAGCCCTTGGGCTGTTGCTCTGACCTGCTCTCAGCACAGTTCCCAGCCCTGGTGTTTCCCCCCCGGCTTTCCAGAACTTTCCCTTGGGGAAAGTGTGTGGGTCAGAGGGATGCACCAGGGTCTGGAATTGCCTGTGAGGCCAAGCTGTGCTCCCTGTCTGTACCCACAGAGCCCTTTGCCTCATATCACACCATGAGTTGTTGGTTTTTTTGTTTTGTTTTGTTTTGTTTTTTCTCATAAAGAACAAATTTGGATTTTGATTTACAAATCATGAGTTTTTCCCTCACCAGGCACACCAAAGACCAGTAAAGCTTTTAGCTTTTCCATCTGTTTATAAAGCAATACTGTATTATAAAGAATTGATATTTTTATCACATGCTTGATTGTGTTGGGTTTTTTTTAAGACGTGCACTCTGAACATATCAAACCTGAGTTTTTCCTACGAACTTATCGCTGTCTGCGCACAAGAGATTTTGGGAGAAGGAAACGACAGGGCCCATCCTATCAAAGTAATTCCCAGCAATGCATGAAGCAGTAACACTTGCTAGGGGAAGGTTAGTGGGAATGTTCCCGAGGGGAATGGACAAGAAAGGTGTTCCCTGACTTGGAAGCGAGCGGAGCTTGGAGCTGCTGCAGAGGGTTGTTCTTTCTGGGGAGCTGGTGGGTCAGGAGGAGTTTGTCCCCCAGGAAGCTGGGATTGCTCCAGCAGCATTAGGAGGGGTTGGGGTGAAGCAGGGCTAGGATGTGGTGAGTTGAAAAGCTCTGTGGTTCCTGCTGCTTTCCTGGCTGTCTCTAGGAGAGTTGTGACACACAGGTTCCCTCCAAATGTCCTTCGTTGTGTTTCTCGAGAAGGTCAGGCTGAAAACAAAACCAGAAAGCAGATTTGGGACCAGACAGTTACGAGTGAGTGGAGGAGAAGGGAGAGGAGAAGGTCTGGCAAAGGTGGGAGGATTTAGTGATGGAATCTCCATGTCTTAGGAAGGGACATCCTTTCTCCGGGGGGAACCAGCTGGTGTGTGTGGAATCCACTGTATGCAGTTCCTGACAAAGGTGGCTGAAACCATGAAGCAAATGTGAGTCTGTACCTGAGGATGCTTTTCTGTTGCTGTTAAAGTGAGACTATCATCTATGCTTACCTAAGAGGCAATTATGTGAATTTCATGTCTGAGGTATAACTTATGCAGGAATAGTTCTGTAAATACATTTAAATGAATTGTAAAGATATTTAATAAATATAGTATTTATACTAAAATGTGCTTTTTTAAAGTTAAGTTGCCTGCAAACCCTCTGTGTGTTGCCGTGGGGAGGTGGTTGGTGGTGCAGAGGCACAGCCAGTGCTGGGGGGGAAGGCAGTCACTGTCACCCCCCTGCAGTGCCTCAAATCCACACCTGAGTGACACCCAACAGTCTGGCAGGAAGATAATGATCTTCTAATTGACCAAAGACTGGGAATTTTGGTGTTGTGTGACTTTGGAAATACTGCACTGCCCCTGACTTGGGGAAGAGACGCGGGGAGGGAAAAGAATTAACTCAAGTCTGAAACACAAACCTTTATTTCTTAAACTGTGGTTCTGTGACAACTTGGGTCGTTCAGTTAAACGCTGGTTCTACAGAGTTTCTGTAAAACCCTGAGTTATCCTGGAGCTGGGCTGGGTCTGGCTGTGCCAGAGGGGATGGATGGGATATTTTTCCAGCACCCTTAACTAGAACAGCAGCTTCATTTGCCTGAAGTGGTAACAGGGTTTGAATTCAAACTGTGGGACTCTCAGTCTCCACTGAGAGTGTTCTGAGAGCAGAACCCCCAGACCGTTCCTGCAGAACTCGTAACACACAAACCTCAGCTGAGTCAGTCGTGACCTAAATCTGGGACAGTCCAAGAGCAGCAGCAGTTCTGGAACAGTCTGTGCTGCTGGGTCACAGCAGCAGGCACCGACTGCGGGCCTGCCCTGCCCTTCCCTCCCAGGCAGTGCCCAAGCCTGTCCTTGGGCCCGAAGCCCTCGTGCCCTACAGCACCGGGGAGCTCTGCAAGGGGCCCAGGTCCTCCTCGGTGTCGCTGGCTGTCGCCAAGCTCTGGAAGGTGTGACCCGTGGCATCCTTCTCCTTGTGGGAAACAGCTCCAAAAAACAAGGAGTGGAACTGGAAAACGCAGTATTTACACAGGTAAGAAGCCACGTGATACAGAATTCAAGTATTAATTATTTGTGAAGCTTTTGCCACTTTCAGTCTGCAGCGTTTCCCAGAGAGACCCACCTGCCCCCGGGAGCGTTCCCCCATGTTAAACATGACACTGCTGGGTTCTGCTGATCCCATGGGAAAGCAGATGCAGAATGGAACGTGGTGTGACACACCCTGTGCACAGGGTGCTCAGCTCAACCCCAGCTGTGCTTCCCCTGCTCAGGGGATGGGGAGTCCCCTCACCTTCTGATAAGGAGCCTCCGTGGCCTCTCCTGCTGCCTCGGCCGTGGGTGTTCCTGCTCTTCCTGTCACATCCCTCCCCGTGACTCTGGGAATGCTTTTTACCTCTTGTTTAGCCACAGGACTGGTGGGAGCGTTCCCATCCCGCTGGGGATTTTTGGAAATGTCTGTGCTGTTGGGCTCATCCCCAGAGGGTTTATCAGGAAGTGTCTCTGAGCTGCATTGGGCAGAGTAGGGTGGGTTAGTAACTGGCTTTTACATTTTCCTCAGAACGTCGTGATTTTCTGTTCATGGAAAGATTATGGCTTTAGAGTAGATTCTCAGCAAGTATCTTCCCACCCCTCCTGCTGCACCCAAACCCTGCGGAGATGAGGAAAGCAGAGTTACTATGGAATGCTCCCTCTGGGACCCCTTTATTGCTGTGTGTGCTGCTGAGATGTTCCTAAACCCACCTGGTTCACAGTTTCCCTGTGAAAACTTGAGGGTTTCATCCCCTTACCTGCCCCACTGCTGTGGGCAGCAGCGCTCCTGGGAATCTGCCTCCTTCTGAGCCTCACACAGGGTGGCCAGGATCAAGCTGGCCTCCAGCAGCACGTCCTCAATGCTGAAAGCAATGGGCCTAAACACAAACAGGGAGACTGCACAGCACATGGAATTACAGACACTGTGGGAGGAGACACAGCTCCTGTGATTCTACATAAGGATTAAAAAATGCCTCCTCTGGAAAGCTGGAAATCTCCTGTGTTTGCTGCTGAGGAAGGAGAGGTGTCCTCCCATTACAGGGTTAATGCCCCAGGGAGCAAATGCTACACAGTGTTATAGCCCAGTGAGAGTTCTGAATGTGTAATTGTTAAAATTATACTTATTCAGAAAATGTTTCTTTAACTGCTAAATAACTCATTGCAGGCATTCAGCTGAGGGCCTCCAGTGTCCAGGGAACTTACACACCAGCAGCAAGGCTGCCTTGGCAGTGCCTGGGTGAAATGCTCTCTGTGGAATTACAAACTCCTTACTCCGGGATCACAGGTCAGAAATGGCTTTTGGAATGGAATGAAAATGTGCTCCATTGCTGCAGGTCGATATTCCCTGAGGGACTGCAGACACAACCCTCCTGTAACTGCAGGGCTCCCACCCGTGTGTGTCCCAACACCTACTTCCCACATCTGTCAAAGTGGATGGACACAGGAACACCGGTGGCTTCGGAAAACGCCAGCAGGCCCTGGAAAAGAAGGAGTGGGGGCTTAAGTGCTGGTTTAAACCCACAAGATTAATATTAGTATGTAAGTTTATCCCAGCTCTTGGTTACTGGCAAAAAGAGGGTAAAATTCTGCTGCTTCCAGAATAATTTCTTGCCTTCCCTGCCAGAGCTTTGCCAGAGGAGGCTCTGCATGGAGAACTCTCCAGGGCAGCTGTGTCTGCCCAGCACAGAAACCACAGTTTGGGTTTAGAAAAGCTTTGTTTGCCTTCCAAAGGCTGCTCTGAGGGGCTCTGCAGAGCCCTGAGGATCCTGGGTTTTAAAGCTAATCCTTGACCAGCTGGTGAAATCCTGCTGCTGTCAGGAGGGCTGGTGGGACACACATTCCATGGGACCATCCTGCAGTGTCCTGGTCCAGTCAGGCAGAGTAATGGGAAATGGTTTATTTTCCAGACAAAGTCTTACTTTACCCTCAACTCTTTAAGGCAAAATGTCACTTCAGAATCTACTCCAACTTGAAAGTAGTCAAATTCCTCTGGACTGAGGTGAATCTCAGTAACCATTGTCCTGGAAAAGTCTGTTTGGGATAACAACAAAATCAGGGACTCACAGGAGTGAAGTTTGAACTCAACAAAACTATGCTTATGGCCCCAAGGTTTTTACATCAGCATCGTTTGAATAATTGTGGTTTTATAGTGATCAACAGTAATAAATGTTTAGCTTATCTAAATTTATTTCATAATTAAGTAAAATGAAATCCTCCATTTATTTACAGTACTTTGTGTAGATTTAAATGGATTTTAACAGAACCCATTCCATGTCCTGATGTGTGATCTAACCCTGTACCTGCTGCTGTTCTTGTCTATCTGCTCCATCCACAGGCATCCCTCACAAATAATATTCCCAGCTGCCTATTGTTGCAGGGTTGGGAAGCCCAAAATGCTGCCTGACTTAAACTGATTAATCAAACTCGCTGACAATCATCAGAGCACAGAGGGGTGGACTGAGGCTCTTTGTTTTAAATTCCCATCTTTTCCTGGCACGGGAGTGGCAACAGGAAATTGGCTCTTCAGTTCCAGGTATTCAGTTGTTCATTACCAGCTGATTAGGCCGGGGCTGTTAATTGGTGTGTGAAGAGAACATGAGAGGTGCTTTCCTGATGTGGAACAGTCTGAGACACTCAGAAAAATTCCAGAGTGGCTGGAGCAGCACAAACACCCCCAGGGAAGGCAAGGCTGCTAAGGGAGTGTTATAGACTCTTCCCAGACTATTCCTAGGTCATTGTCCTCAGCTTTGGTAGTAACAAGTATGAAAAGCACCCCTTTATTATATGATATCCAAGAACCTCTACTTCAAAAACACGATTATATCTTTAAAATTAGTTTGAGTCACACTCCAGGAATCTGCAGATTTGTTCTCCACCTCCTGGAGATGTGACCATGGCAGTGACAGTGTGAGCCCAGCTGACACCCTGTACTGTCCTCAGCCTAAAATACACCCTCTAATGATATCAATTCTCTAATTGTGGTGTTCAGATTTAAACAGTTCTTTTTAAAACCCCAAATCAGCCCCTGTTCCCTGGCAGTTGCCCTGCTCCTGCTCTTGCAGCACAGTAATTACCTCCTTCAAGCCTACAGCAAGTGGCATAATTTATTTCAATTGGCTGCTCAGTCTGATATCTGCCACTGACACCCAGAAAATGTTATTAAAAACTTGCTTTCTTAAAATATATTAAAACCAGAGGGTGGCAGCATGACTTAAAATCTCTCTATATATGTTCCCTCTCTTAAAAGTGTCATTAAACCATAAAATGCATTCCCCACTTATGACAGCTATTATTCCTTGAGTTCACCTGTGCTAAAAGTCCAAGTATTGGTTCATATATTCTGAATTTCCTTACCAGTGTCTTCCTCAGTGTAACTCTTGAAACAAACTTTCACTGGAGTAACTGATAAGGTTATTTCTTCTTGGCTGGTTGGGAAGTGAATCATCACATCAGCCAGCAGCCTGTAAAATGTCACTCAGCATTGAAATAATCTGTCACAGGTTGGCATTTGTTACTCCCATCAGAAAGTAAAACTCAGAGAATGGTTTTGTATTTGTTACCTGGAGTGGACTTTAAGGATGTTTGGACACATGTGCTTTGCAAAAACAGCCTGCAAGGGATCACATTCCTGAAATGTCAGGTTATATGTTTTTACAACACCTAAATATAGAGGAAATGAACACAAATCAATGCTGGTCTGTAATCTTAATTTTTTTTTTAAGTATTAATTGTTCAATAGAGAAAGTAACCAAGGGACTTACTGAGCTATGTGGAAATAAATAGAAAATGGAATTCACCTGCCATCCAAGTTGTGCCCATCCAGCATCCGAGTTTTTTAAGACTCCACAAGAAATAAATGAACAGCAAAAAGTGCAACAAATGCAGAGGAAAAAAGCCCTCAATATTTAACTGGTAAAATAATACAAATGGGAGTGAAATACAAAAGGCAAACCCTACAGACCTCTGTGTGTTTGTGGGTAAGCCTGGGCTAAAGAGAGCCGAGTTGTCTGGGGACCTAATTCAATATATTACCCCATTATCAGTAATACAAGATAGATTTTTAATAATATAAAGCACTGCCTGTGACACAGCACAG